TTGTTGATGTTGGCACCTTCTTTCAACCTGGTGCCTGTGGTGTGTGTGGCATCAGCCCTCTCACTGCCTGCCAGGTCTACCAGGTGGATCTTACTCAGGGTCTCACGTGGCAACTCTGCATCGAACCACGCCTGTGGCATGAAAAGACATTACGGACTAATGTTCTTTTGTGTTTTTGTTTTAAAAAGAGGCAGCAGAGGAATACGACAAAAGTGCTACTTAGGATGGGAAAAAAAATGAAAATGCTTTTGAAGACAAAAAGAAATTACACAAAACGAATAAACAAGGCTAAATAGAGCTCGAGGGAGAGCCTTTACTAAACAGCCAAAGAATTTTTAGAAGAACTTTTTAATAAATGTTTCCCCCCACCTCAAACTGACAGCAGGATATATTTAGGCACTACAGTTCACCTGGGTGAAGTAGATAGTGAAGATGGCATGGGAGCGGCTGCTGACGTCATTCATGGTTGTGCTGGCCGTGGTGCGGTTGGCATTGCCGAGACTGATCAGGTCCTCTAGGTCCCCGTGGTTGTGTGCCAAGTGCTTGGATAGATCTACATATAAGTTGTTTTCTGTATTAGATTTTCTGCATTTTATACAAACTCAGCTGAGATGCAGATAGGGCGGAGAATAAAACCTTAGTCTTACTTTCTACATAGGGCCCATCCCTGTGGTGCTCTCTCACTCTCAAGCCTCCACCATCTGTGGGTGTAGGTCTCTTCTTGAGAAGGTCCTGAACACGTTCATTGTAGATCTCCAAATAGCTGGTGCCAAGGCAGAAACACAAATGCCAAATTTAATTCAAGGCTGCACACAAAGCCACAAATTAAGGGTTTCAGTGTTGATGTGTGAACACCACAGCACCAACTGACAAAAACAAGTTTCCATTCACTGTCTACTATGAAAAGAGATTCTCAGTGGGTTTAAAGTCAAATTACTGTGCATGCATTGGCAATGAACAAACATGGTTTCAGTAGAGCACTTCAACACAATCTATATTGTGGTGGGTGTATGCAAAAAAAAAAAAAATCTGGACTACTGAGTAGTGGCTGATTCAAAAACAACGCAAAGCATGGAGCAATTAGGCTTTACAACAGCATGACCGTAATGAAATGGCAGAGACCATATCCTGTGGATGTAGCCATGCAGATTGTTTTCTGCCAAAAAATACCAATATTAAATGGTTTCTAAATGACTAGAGGCATACTGTAGGTGCCATTATTATAACAGCAAAACAGGGAGCATTATTAAGCCAGTTAAATGTTTCCAGCTACCACCATAACCTCCTTGCGAATACAAAATGTATGATGTTATACAATGTGGAGATGAATGTGCAGCTACCTTAACAGAAAGTCAGATTTCATTCATAGGCAAGCAATGGCGTCCATGACAACAGAAAAACTGACAAAAAGGAAGATTACGAATACTGTTCTATTGAAAAAAGAAAGATTCATGCCAGGAATTTTGTACATATCCTAACCTAATATTCCTATCATTCCATCATTTTTTGTAATTGCTCAAGATCACACCTTTGATACAAATATATTTAGAGAGCAATGAGTAACTCACACCAGCTGGGTGGACTACAAGAAAATACAGTACAAATGTGTCATTTTTCCAAAATCCATCCCTCGGTCATGTTCAAGCTATTCAACATTTCTAAAGCAGGGCCTGGCAGATCCACTCATAAAACCCAATTTTACAGCTGAATTAAACCCAAAAAATGTGTCAGCAGCACAAGATACCAAATGGCAAAATATTGGTTTCAGAGTAGCTTGATGGGCTTCAAAACCTAAATTTTCTCTCCCAACATAATTTAGGAGTAGAGCTGGGACTTGTAACTATGAAAAAGATATTGTAATGAGACTAGATATCATCTGGCATTTGACTATAGTAATAAAGTGTTGTGAGAATGTCTTTCTGGTTTAGAGGACGGCATTGCAGTTAAGTCATACAATTCTCTGACGCCGTTTGAGGGCTTTAGTTAAGTGAAATTAACAATGAATGTGTTGCATGTAAGCACCAACATTTTGCAGCCAACAAATTGATTGAGGTTTTGGACTCTAGTTTGTGTGGTAAACATTTAATGTATAGCTGCAGTGCAAAAGACAACGGCCCTCTGGTGCAAAACACATTTCCAAAAATCAAAAAAAAAAAAAAAAAAAAAAGGGGGAGGGGGGTACAACTACTCACCACAAGAGGCTTTAGCTTTATCTTAAAAGTTTTGTCATGCTTTGTCAGTCTTGATTCTGACCGGAGGCCTAAGTCACTGTCAGTTGGAAGTAGCACAAGGTGCACTAGTTTTTCTTCCTCCTTTGCGCACTCATTTTGTGTAGTTACAATGCCTTTGACTTTAAGCATTAGTAGTATTGGTTTAGTCTTTAGTATAGTATTGATATATTTAATATTTTGTATTAAAAAAAAAAAAAAAAAAAAAACACAAATAACTCCAAGAGCGTACTCCAACATAAGAGACAATAGAATTCAGCACTGTTACAAGAACATTTTTCCATGAACAGGTTTTCCTTACCAGCTCATTATGCCTAGTACCAAAAGCATACCTCCTTTCTTTTTGAGTGTCTAAAAGTTTAACATTTGATTAAATATGCATAATTAAACACACGTCCTGTGCCATGACTTTATGATAAGCAGCAGCATCAATGTATATAGTCTCTCACCTGACCTCCGTACAAAATGACACGGCATCACCCATCTTGCTCCTATGAGAAATCTCGTAGAATAAGCCTTCACAGATACGTGGGATCAAACCTTTATCTTCCTGACACAATAAAGGGAGGAAACATTTTGAACTCAAATTACAAAATGATAGTTTTACACAGTGTACTTTTAAATGACAATTTCATTTTGCTTCCATTATGTTCTCTTAATTTGGGTGTCTATACTATGGTGTGACCACAACTCAGCACATGCAAAGAGTGCTGAACAACATAAACAGCTCATCTGATAGAGTTACTGAAGCATAAAAGCAATTCCACTCCGAGCTGCATGCCCTCTTGTTTTAATTACAAAGTAACAGATAGTAAGCATTAAGAGCCATATATAATTATCCGAGATGTTGACAGCAGCACCGCTGTTGACCTTGCACAAGTCTCCTGGCAGACAAGCAGAAATCTCACTGGTAATGTGAAATGTCCAATCCTTGCAAGGTGGAGAGAAACGCTGTGGGTTGCTGCCTTAATCACATTTTCTGATTAGTGGGGAGAAACATGGAGACAAATGGAGAGAAGACGAGGGATGTCTGATGGTGCCTTCAGTCAGCTTCTGGTGAGGAGCCAGTGCTATGTGCACACTGGGTTAGCGCGACTGCGGTATTCTGCAACGTAAGCTCTACAGTGTTGTGAATGTTGTGACATCCTGGTTGTCCCTGATGACTGATGGCCTCGATGCAAGCTGGAAATTACCTACAAATGTTTACAGCATAACTACCTCTCAAGATAAACGCACCCTTAGTGAGAGTGCTGAGAAAGCTAAGAGAAGGCCTTACTGTATGACCCATCATAGTGTGGGATTTTCCCGAGCCTGTTTGGCCATAGGCAAACACACAGGCATTGAAACCCTCAAACGCAGCTTTCAGGACATCAGACCCCAGGTCATGAAAAATCTAAAGCAGCAAAGAAAGGATTAGTTAAAATATTAGCTACACAGAAAAACATGGCTTAAAAGACTGAAGACTTTTTTTTTTTTAAGTGGACAAGGAAAATACACGAAGTTGAAACATTAAGCAGAAGAACACAGACCTTCTCCTGAGATGCAAATGCGGGGCTTCCTCTGTCAGTTGAATCATATGAGAAGTCATAAGAAAAGGTCTTCCCTCTGTCTTTCAGCCCCTCCCCTCGAACAGGTGATGGCTAGAATTTCAAATGCCCAGCCTACTCTCAATTAAAGACTTCAGTGGCTGTAGTTAAGTGCATTTCATTTTGTGTTCAAATACCTTATGAATAGAAATAGTGTTCCCCTTCACGTGGATTATCACTTTCGATGATGACTGCTTTTCTCTGTGGACAAGTGCACGTGAGTGGCATAGGCGTTCATTCAGAGAGCTTGGAGAAATCAAAAGTATTAATTCTGTCTACCTTTCGTTCAGTGGACGGACGCGGACCGCTACTCGCACTGAAGCCATTATTCATCAAAATCAGACAGAACAGCCTCTTCTCCCAGCCTGTCCTCTCCTTTGAAAGACAAGTCTGCCTTCCGCGTGAACATCAAGGCGTTGTATTTCACACCTAATTATCACACCTGGGCCAATAACCTGGGGCCTGTGCTCACGCTGTCGATGCACTACACAAACTAGCCACTGGGGTAGGTTAAATATCGATAAACTGTACCCCCCAAAACTTTTTTTTTACTCATGATTGTATTATCTCTTAACACAGCAGATGATATTCTGCATGGATAAAATAGAGGCAGATGTCTCAGGTGTTGTTGTCAATTTAACAATATAACTGAGCAAATACAAATATATACAAATGACTCAACCAAACTTTACACTAGTCCATAAACCCACTGTATGAGATTAAAATCCACGGTGTCCACTAGGCTATATGTTTATGTTTATTTGAATGCCTGTATCAGTATATTGCATTTAAAGACACACGAAACCGACCGCAGATCTTCAAGACAGAAACAATTACGTATATTGGTGTCATGGTAAAACCGATTTAAGGCCAGCAAACGATGCCTTAAACAACCTAAAATGTTGTGCAAGCTTGTTATCTGCGTTGTTACCGGTTGTAATAAATGTCACAATTAAAGCATTTAATTCAAAGTTTAATTTGAGACAACTGTTTTGTAACCAGTGACGTTCAAAATTCAGCAAGCTGTAGGATAATGAATCACCTACAAACTTGGGATTCGTGCCCGCAGGAATAAACGCATTTGATGTATTTATTTATTATTATCACATAGGCTACTAGCCGGACGAACAATATTTTCAAAAGGGACACTTGTTTCCGAATTTTTCCATGTAACGTGAACGCAGCATTACAGTCGTTTCCCATGATGCAGTGCGGAATCGACCCGGCGGGGACATTCAAAACTATGGCAGAAGACTCCAACATATTTAAATCAACATCAAACTCAAAAGACGCTGGGAATACGTCCATTATTAACAGTGGAAACAACGAGATAAAGATGCGCCTTTCGTTTTCGTCAGAAAAAGATATTATCACGCGGGAGGAACCGAATATAACACGTAAAGTCCTAACGTTACAAAGTGTTCCCGACGCGGAACTCGCCGAACAACTCTCACCACGGGCCGTAAACACACGTTTAAATGCGAAACAAGCAAATGAATCGAAAGATGCCTCCACAGAACATCGACTCAGTTCAAAACAGCATAGTGTGAATAATACTGAAGAGAAAGAGAACACCGGTATTCACTCCACAACCATCACTCCAGGTGTGTTAACGTAACCGGTGGTGTGGGTAACTTACCCATTTTTTGGGGGGGGGCAATAAAGTTAAAGGCAACTCTCTTTAGTTGTCTCTAAAGCCGACAGGTTGACAAAAATATTAAGATAGTTGTTGCGGTGTAAAAACAACTCATTTCCATTTTGATAGTGGGAAACAAATTCCCGAGGTTGTTAAAACAGCCCCCCTCTGCTCTTTTAATTTAAATGTGTCCAGTTGACATGTTGACACAATATTTACATCAAAATACTGTATATTTAAGGCAGACATAGTAGGTAACAGTACTAGATATTGTAGATACTCTTTATACTAGGGTTTCAACTAACCATTATTTTCATTGTCAATTATTCTGTCAGTTATTTTCTCAATTAATTGATTAGTTGCTTGGTTTGGTATTTTGTTGTTGATCCGTGTTACCCAAAGCCCAAGATGACCTCCTCAAATGTGTTGTTTTGTCCACAACCTAAAGATATTCACTTTACTGTGATACAGGAGCACAGAACCCAGAAATTATTCACACTTAAGAAGGTGGAATCATAATTCAGCTTTTTTTCCCCTTTTTACAATTACTCAAACTGATAAATCGATTATCAAAATAGTATCCGATTAATTTAATAGTTGACCATTAAAACGAATTGATTAGTCTATTAATCGTTGCAGCTCTACTCTAAATGTTTTACTCTACTACATGTGTATTGACTCGGTAGTTTAGAGTTGAAACAATTATTCCATTAACTGATTAGTCAGCACAGTTAATCATCAAATATTTTAATTAGCATTTAACTGTTTGTAAGTCCTCTATGAGGTAAAAGCTCTGATTGTCTGACTCCAGTGTCTTAATTGTGATAGTTTTCATCTTTTATTTTTTGTTTTTATAATTGTAAGCTTAATAGCTTTGGGTTTTGGACTGTTGGATGCACAAAACGAGACATTTGTAGATGTCATCTTGCACTCTGGGAAACTGTAATGGACATTGTTAAATATTATATATCTAGTTACTTTGCACATACAGATTTGCTTATAAAACCTTAGTCAACAAAGAAAATATTATTCTACTATGCAAAGTAGTTCAAATGTGCCCCACCCTGACTAGCTGCATTAACAGCATGTTACCGCATTAATAATTATAATCCAGTAGTATAATATGTGATATCCTGATACGCTAAAAAGGGTCCATTCTGAATTAATTGAGTATTTATTTTTGATTGTATTAATACTTGTGTACTTTTGAATGCAGGATCTGAGTAACTCTTCCTCCACAGCCAGACAGTGGCTACATGTTTACAGGGGACAATGGCTTTATAAGAGCACTGGCTTTGCTAAATTTCATCAACATATGACCAGCTGAAAATTGAGTAAGACCGGTCCATTGCTCATCTTAATGACATAATTCTGGTCCTCATTTGGACAGATAACACCCAAGAAGAGGGCTCCTCTGGTCAGAGAAGTTTGCAAGATTCCAATGTGACTGCCAGTAAACAACATAGTAACACAGAGGACAGTGATGCTGAGGTGGTGAGACAAGCGCAGCACGAAGACCGTGTGAATGTGGTCTTCCCAGGCACTGTAACCCAGGAAAGCTGCTGCCGCTTCATCAGCGAGATCCTCAAGTGCATTCTCTATCAGAGGCAGCAGCTACCCATGACGTATGACCAGCTGGTGTACTCCCAGAAGAAACAGCAGGCCTCAATGCAGGTGAATAGGGAAAATGTGTTGTAGTGCACATCACATTTTCATAAATGAAGAAATGTGGTGGTGGATTTGAGATAAACTAAGTGTTTGGTGAATGTTTTGCTTTTCAGGATAAAGACATAGTGTGTCGGAGGCCGGTGCAGTCTGCAGACATGGACTGGCGTAAGTGTCAACAAACCCTTCAGGAGCTAGAGGAATTGCTGCAGCAGCTGGAGGTGCTGTTTTCTCTTAGCAGGGTGCCCCGTGTGCTGCTGCTCATGGGTGGATCCCTCATGCTCCCCAAAGAGCTGTATGAGATCAACTTGGAGGCGCTGGTAGTGGCTGGTGGGGATCAATGTCTGCGGGTATCCCCATGCTTAAGGCAACTCTTCCGCACTCTTTTCGTGGCGGACATTTTATCTGACAGCAGACCTGTTCGTTTAATGCCCACCACAGTCTTAGCGCTGGCTCACAGGGATTGCGGTGTAGGCTGGTTCCGCCCTAAACTACAATTTAAAGTGCCAACACGTGTAAAGAACCGGATTATTTCTCTGTCTACTGATCCCAGCACCTATAAGGAACCAAGAGCAGAAGGGTCAGACGGGCAGGATTATGTGTGGTTTCAGGCACCCATGCCTATTAAGGGCTTCAGCAACTGAGCCAAAAAGTTAAGGAGTCCTTAGTCTGAGGTTGGAGCTCTCTTTCCAGCATCCGTATGCTGCAATTCAGTTTTAATGGTGGTTCAAGGGAATTTTGAACTTGAATTTATATTTGAGCTGTCCATATTTTAATGAATGAGTTTGTGTTTTTTTACTTAAACGTATGTCAATTAAAACAATAGTGGGTTTATCGACACAAGCAGTATTGTGTTTTATATTTTTTTATCTTCTGAAATACCGAGAGAATGTGTTCCGAAGAGGCTTTGTTGGCATGTGATTCAAATCTGTTTGAAACATTGTGCATTATTCTTTATTTATGAAGAATGTTTTGCATAAAATGTCACTAATTTAGAACAACATACATAATATTGGTGCAATATATTTTAATTTGCATAATTTGACATGTTTAATGCATTACATTGCTTTCTTCAATCCAATTATTGGATACACTGGAGTGTCATCTGTGTATATATGTTTACATCTATTAAAACCTGAAAATGATTGACAGTACTGCCGTTTTAGAGAGGCAATGATGCATGAAGATGCATGGTAGTGCAGTAAAAATCTTGATAAGGATGTACACATTTGTGTGCCATTTGGAATGATCAGTCAAAATCAAACAACAGCAGTAATAAAGAACAGCTGTGCCATAATTATTGGTCTGAGGTTCAGAACTTCTCCACTTTTTTCACAAACTGAACAAGGTCTTTAGCTAGCAGCTGGGGCTCCTCAAAGGCAGCGAAGTGACCACCACGAGGCATGAAAGTATAGGAGTAGATGTTCCGATACCTAATTTGTGCCCACGATTTAGGGCAGTGCATCAACTCCTCAGGGAAGGCGGCGAGTCCAGTGGGTACAAATATCCCCGTCCTAAAACAAAAGATTAAGTGTTATCACATTTATAACTTGACAGGACAATAAGGATGTCAAATTAGCAAAATAAATTAAAGTCATAGTTTTGACAGTATGAGCATTTGGCCACACACCTTGCATCCACTCTATTGTTAGGATTACTGTTGAAGTTCTCTTTGTAGAAGCGCATGGAGGACACGACGGAGCCCGTGGTCCAGTAGATCATGACACATGTCAACAGGTCATCCAGGCTGAATTTCCTGCACAAATGTAGCAATTTGAAATGAATTAACAGCCTGCAACAATCGCATAAACCTTGTTGAATCGTATCGACGTATAATTTCTATGCTGAAACTGATTAAAAGCCAAAACAGAATTCCCTCTGGCACCTGGTCAGCCCACCATCCGCCAGATCTCTGTTCCCCATATCAGTCCAGGAGGAGAACTTCTCCAGAATGTAGGCCGCCAAGCCTACAGGAGAGTCATTCACTCCACAGCCTGTACACACAATTTAAGAGACAGCTCAAATAATCGCATGCTGAGATTACAAAATACTGGAAACAGCAGAATGAACTCTTTGTAGAGCATTGAGTTCGTCCTTGACCTGTCAACAGTGTCAATATGTATCATAAGATTCAGAGTCTGTGTCCTGGTTGCGTCCCCACCTGCAGTGTCTGGTTTAGTGCCCTGGATGTGCAAGTAGCCTGTTTCCATCAGGATATTCCAGACATTCTTCTCAAAGAAAGGGAACAACCGGCGAACATCTTCCCGACTGAAGCCCACCAGGAAGGGCAGATAAGGACCAATCATAAGGGACAACAGCACTTTAAACCCTCTTTGTGATACACACATGTTTAAGTGGAGTCCTTTCACGCACCTGGAAAAAAATGATACAGATTACCAAAAACTAACTGTATTATGTGCAGATTTATAGCTATAAATCTTTTCATCATGTTTGTCTTTTGGCAAAATGTCTACTATTTGTGCAAGTCTCTAGGAATTTGTAGTGTCAGTGGATTTTGGTCAGTTTAGCATTTTGCACACTGCAAGTACTGTTTAACAACTTAAGTAGCAATCTAACAATGCTCCATTTCAAAAACAAGAGGGTGGTGGAAATTCCACTGCAGTGATAAGTTGTGGTATGTAAGGGCTTGTTTTGCTGTCTTACTGAGGCTTCATCTGCGCCATGTTGGTGGTGATGAGGGAGCCCCAGTCCCCTCCCTGCAGATAGAACTGGGAGAACCCTAAACGCTCCATCAGGGTCAGGAAAATTCGGGCGGCAGCGAGACTGTCAAATCCTAAAAAGATGCGGGTTTACAGGATCTATAACCACCTGCTGCTCGTGCTGAAATACATGCATTTATTTAGAATCATCTACCTTGTTTGTGAGGGGCCTCTGAGAAACCGTAGCCAGGGATAGATGGGCATATGACCTCAAACGCAAGACCATCCTTGTTCTCCGTGAGAAGTGGCAGAATCTTGTAGAACTCGTAGAAGGAGCCAGGCCAGCCGTGAACGAGCATGAGAGGCAGAACCTTCTGATTCTCGCGGTGTGGTGGCTGCACATGGATGAAGTGCACATCCAGTCCTAGATGAAAACAAAAGAAAAGAAAACTGTGTGTGGACTGATTCTTGGCCAAATATACTAATTATTAACGCAAACCCTGTTGATTTAGCGGGGCTGTGTGTACCTTCTATTTTAGTTTTGAAGTGTGGATACATGTTAAGCACTGCCACCTGTTTTTTCCAGTCAAACTCGTGTCTCCAATAAGAAACAACTTTCTTGAGATAAGTGGAATTGAAGCCGTACTGGAAGCCGCTATCTTCCAAAGGATCAGTGTAGCGGGTTCTGTCAATGCGCTCATGAAGGTCCTGTTGAATAAGAGCACAGTTGATTACATCACATAAACATGTTCCTGTCTTATTATTGACACTCATTACTTTTAATGTGGTAATTGAATGAAAAGTTTGATTAACAGCTCAATAGGACCTTAATCTCTTCATCTGTGGTTTGCACTTTAAAGGGATAGATTTGATCATCCTCTGACAGTGGCTTCTCTCCTGCCCCCCACCATCCTTTTCCAAGAGGAATTGTTTTGGCTTCTCTTCTTTTGAGCATTATGTATGCCAATGCCCCCCCTGCTGCCACAGCTGAGCCTATTAGAAGCTGCTGTTGGACAACATCCAAGCCATAGAAAGTTTCTCTACAAAGTGCATAAAGATACGAGAAAAACTCAATAACAGCTCTGATATCACTAACAATATTTATACCTCGATATCATATCAGTGTGAGTGGCAAAAAACCTACTTACTTTAAAACCTGCAGTCTTTGCATTGTGCAGTTCCAAAGGTGGGCGCCCACAGGTTTGTTTGTGTTAGACCTGCAGTAGGACAGAGGTCGAAAATGTTTTATTTTTTCCGCACTGCGCTTCGAAAGTCGTGTACAAGCACGCCAAATTTCAACCACTATGACTTTAAACTCACCTTGTTTGCTTCCTTTTAAGCGTGTCTTGGGATAATGTTGGACTTTTCTACAAATGGAAGAAACAAACGGAAACACCCACGCGACTAGGCTGGTGAAGCTGGGGGAGAGAGGGAGGGAGTAGGCGGGCGATGCGTTGCAGAGATTGTTGATTGGCTGCGAGATGCGCAACTCTCGGTGGTCACAACAGCCGTGACGCCGCTATTTATATAATAGGGAGGAAAGAAACGGGCTTGTTGTTGTGTCGTACTGAGTCCGCAGCTACAGAAACAAGATGTGGAAGATTGTCTTTACTGTTCTCGCCGCGGTTTTAGCCGTCGGGTTAGGTGGTATGGTAGGCGGCTTCCAGGACATGGATGTGAACGATGAAGGGGCGAGAAATGCCCTGAATTTCGCCGTCGTCCAACACAACAGGGCCAACAACGACATGTACCTCAGCCAAGTGGCAGAAGTGGTAAAGGTTCAGCGACAGGTTAGTAACGTTAACCTTTAATTTGGACATGTGAATATCTTCTTTGTTGTAGTTGAACGGAAAGCCACCTAGCTAATGAAATCAAGATTATCCAGTGTAAATATAGGCCGCTAAAGTACTGCCTAAAGTCACTGTAACATGTCTATAAGCATATGCAGTCATTTATCTATCTATATATATATATATATATATATATATATATATATATATATATATATATATATATATATATATATATATAATTGACTCTTAAAACTAGGTGTTGGCAGTGACATAACACGACCCTTTTGAATAAACAACATAATCCCATAATCTCCTGACCTGTCAGGCAAATTTGTGACGTCTATAACATGTCGAGGCGGCTGGTAGGTCCCAGCCTTTTTAAAAATAAATAAACGAGCTGGAAACCTGTTCTTTAGGTAATATGTAGTCATTTAACAGTAACAGCCCTCCCTGAAAGAGGACCCGCCCAAACATTGTAGCTTCCCCATATCATTTGTGTGTGTTGGTGTGGACTTTTTATTTGTGTTTGACTGATACAAGCTGATCATGACAAGCGTCCATATTTGGGGTAGTCATTTAAAGAGGAACTGTATTTCCACAAACCATCCACTTCTCCTTACAGGTGGTTGCTGGCTCCAAGTATATCATAACTGTGAGAATGGCGAAGACCCCCTGCAGAAAGGACAGTGCAAATGAAGTGTGTGCCATCCACGAAGACCCAGCCCAGGCTCAGGTAAAGACTTTATTAAGGGTGGCAATAACACCATACCAAAATCTGATCTTCATACATGATCACACAGGGTGTATAAAAAATTAGACTAATGTTCAATCATTTGTTAAACTTGGTCATTTGGTCTACTCTCTTGAAAGAGGAAAATATTTAATTAACTTCATCTGATCATGAAATAATTATGATCATTTGAATATGGGGCGTGGGGATTGTGATGTCTTTTACAGTGCTTTAAGAGAAGATATTAAGTTCATCATGCCCTCTTAAAAACAAAAAAATGCCACGTTGATCTTTGACTATAATATACTCTTGAAGATGCAATGCTATATGCAGTTTTATTTCCATCTATGTATATTATATAACGTGTGTTCTGAACCTTTTCTTCCTCAGCCATACGAGTGCACATTTACAGTTTGGAGCCGCCCATGGATTAATGACATCAAGCTGTTGAAAGAGAAATGCTAGAAGAACTACGTGGGAGAACCTCTCTTTTCATATTTTGCAGAATAATCATCATGCAGAGGAACATGTATTTTCCTGTAGATGAACAACAAAAGTATTAAGCATTTCCATTTCCTTCCTATACTGCCTCACTGTATGCTAGATTGAATAACCTTTGAAAGCATTTTTAAGATATAAGAATAACCTATGCAGTATGGCAAAGTAGAAGTACATTGACTTTTAGAGGAGCAACTTTTAATGCACTAAACCAAACAAATTAATAATTGTACTGAACTGTTGATTAGCCTATTAAAAACACACTGTTTTAGAATGAAATTAAATTAAAAAAGCATGTGAACTTAAATGAATGTGTCTATGTGGTTAATGCATTTAGGTATTAGGCTTGTGCTGTCCAGATCTCAGTTTTATGTTTAATTATTTTTGGAAAGAGTAAATAAAAGTTTGTTTTGTGTGTGTTTTAAGCATTCCTATCTGACATTAGACAATGAGGGTATTTGAGCTCCCTGCGACCCTGTACGCAGGATAAGCGGTTGACGATTGGATGGATGAATGGATGGTATTTGAGCTGCAGTGATTAATCCATTAGTTGTTGACAATTAAATTAATCGGCAACTATTTTGACAATCTGTTTGAGTAATTTTTCAATGTGAATATTTTCTGGTTTCTTTAGTCCTCTAAGACAGTAAACAGAATATCTTTGGGTTGTGGAAAAATCAGGACACTGACTGATGACACTTTTCACCATTTTATAGCCTGAACAGCTAATTGATTGAATAAAGAAAATAATCAACACGATTACCGACAATGAAAATAATTGTTAGTTGCTGCCCTAGAGAGTATGAATCCTGTGAAAGGTGTATTTAGGATGCAAAACTGCAATTTTATATATAAGAAATAAGATGATTTTTAATTATTTCTCTCTTTAGATATTTGACTTGATAGGAATGTCTCATTCTAGGGATGAACAAAGTCATGATTTAACTTTACCATAACCAAATAATACACATTCAATGATTGAAAAGTAGAAAATATATATATTTCTGGTGCCTTCACGATTTTTATGTTTTTATATACAGTCTATGGCTGATAAATGCAAGTGGATTCTTTCACTGCCACAACACCACATAATCACCAATACAGTTTTTATTTAAAAATAAACTTCATTTCGGTCAGTAAATCATTAGGCCTACACAAATAATTTGGGATAAAAACATAGACTGTAGATAAAAAGAAAACAAAGCTTTTATTTTTAAAATCCAGACAGGAAGTGGTCTATGGTTTGAGATAGATCAGATACAGTGAGTGACAATGGCCGGCTGTTAATGATCAATAAAGGCTCAGCTCTTGACACCTTTGAACATATCATTTAAACTGACGTGCTGGATAAACTCTATCAGTAAGGACGCAAACATGAAGGTCCTAAACAGAGACGAACTACAGATCGCGGAAGGAGTTCTGCTAAAACACTTACCGAAGAGTTTTAAGGTAACGTTAACGTAAACTAAGACCACAGCAAAAATACATTACCGTAATCAATGTGTCAGCATTTAATCGCAGTGTGTTTCTACTTCTAAGCCGATGTAGCTCTACATTTTTCGTGATGTAGGTATACGGTTTCCTATATGGAATTAACAGGAACAAGCCAAGTACATTGGAGGTAGTTGTTGACACATGGCCTGATTTTAGGGTCATCATCTGCCGACCTGACCCCAAGGTGAGTTCACATCCCGTCGGAGAATTAGATGTGTTGGAGCCAAACTTTTGTAAGACGCGTGATTGCAATATTGTGTGTTTGCTTCACAGAACAAGCGCACTCTGGAGATCCGGAAAAAAGTGACATACTACACCATGGATGAACAGATTTTAAGGAAAATTCTGACAGAGGAGGATGCATTTGACTGGAGCACTTACTTCATACTTGGAGGTCAGTTTAGAGAGCTGTGTTTTGTTATTCAGGACAACAGGGGTTAATCATCACTCATAACTCAATGGTAGAAAATTAACTAAACAGGCTAGCTTAGTCAGTTACTGTAGGCCTACTGAAGTACAGTTTTTAGTATTTACTTGAATATTTCCACTTTATAGTTCCACTCCACTACAATTCAGAACTAAACTATGAACCTTTTTCTTCACTACATTTACCTGACTGCTTTAGTTTCTACTTTACAAATAATATATAAACACAAAACAAACCAGATGTTGAGCTTTTAACATATGGTGCATTATTAAGTAACCTATGATACACCTAACCACCTCCACCTATACCAACAGTAAAATGAAAAACATTAATGCATCAGAATCAGAAGGAGCTTTATTTCCAAGTAGTGTTTTACACATACAAGGAATTTGCTTTGGTGTTAAGGTGCTACACACAGACAGACATAGAGCTGACATAAATAGATGTAGAAATATATAAATATGTAATAAACAAATGCAAGTTGTATAAGAATAACAGAAGAATAGAGAAAAATAATACAACTGACAATATAAAATAAATAAATAAATAAATAAAAATAACAATGGAACATAACAATTTACAATTAACAACAAATGAACAAATATGTGCAATGTGCCAGGTTCGTGCATATGACATGAAGTGATAGTGTAATCAGTAATAATAATCTATATAACATATTAAATTGAGTGCTTTTACTTTTGATACTTTAAGTAGTTTTTATATTTATAGATTTAAGTAGATTTATATATATATACTTATTTTAACTTGTAGTGCCGCATTTTTGCAGTGTGGTTTTGTCATATTTGACCAAGTTAAGGATGTGCATACCTCCTCTACTGCAAAGAAAAATAACTGAATGATATTAACATATGAATCATTTTACAGGATTTGACATTTCCCACGCCCCCATGCTCAAACAAGTGTCTTCTGACAGAAATGTCAACAACAGAGGCTATGTTTTGGTGCATCTTCTGTATTTGCCAGACAGCAGCCATCTGCTCACACCAGCAGTTGACAGGTATAGTCAGATATGTAAAGTATACGTGTAGCCTACATTTCACCTAAATCAGAGAAAAGTCAAATAATATTGTTTCTCCACTCAGATAAAAGATTATCATGATCGTTTTCTCTACAGCGAGCTTGAATCAAGGATTTCATCTCTTAACCCTTCCCACGTTGATTTGGTGAATAACACCTGGAAGTTTGGAGGCAACGAGCAGGGTTACAAATATATTGAAACCATCATCAGCAACTTCCCGTCATGCTGCATCACTGACGGCCAGGGTCAGCCCGTGTCCTGGATTCTGGTGTATGATTACTGTGCCATGGGGATTCTGTACACTCTGCCAGAGCACAGAGGGAAAGGCTATGCCAAAGTTCTGGTCAGCATCCTGGCCAAGAGACTCCACGCTCAGGGCTATCCAGTGTACTGCTTCATAGAGGAGGAGAACGTACTCTCCTACAGGCTCTTTAAAAACCTGGGCTTTATTGAGGATCCCTCATACAGGGCGGCATGGTATGAGTTCAACTTTTGATTTTGTAACCATTGTGATTTCTAACAATTCAAACAGCGCGGACTGTTCTAATGGAAAGTTATGAAAAAGGTATTCTGACACACATAATACAATAATAACGTCAACTTTTCATAATAGCCTACAGGTATTTAGAGGAGAGATCCAAATGAAAATAGGGTTTGTTGATTCATGCTTTGCTTTCTATCAGAATTTTCAGATAATGTTCATACACATACTGCATTGGCATTTTATACACCCCATTTTCAGTAATGATGGTTCCCCCAAAATAAACATATTTTGTGTAAACAATGTTGTATTTTCTCTTTTTAATGTCAAAGCTTCAGGTTCCCTGTGTAAATTTAGTCCAGATTCAACTAGTGTTTCCTTAAATATAATAAAGGCTTCACCATTATGAAACAATTGTCACAGTGTTTCCTTTCTTTTCAGACGTGGATTTAAAGGCGATGGAATCGAGAAAGAACTTTATGACAAAGATGAAAAAAAGTTTTTCAAATACCAAACTAGATTTGCAACAATTATTTGCCCCGTTTGAGAAGTGATAGCATATAACAAAACGGGCAAATGAGACTAGGCTATAAAAGAAATTGTTTCGAAAGTACGAATAGCAAACCAACTTCCGTCGGGGGAAAAACGCCCACCATAAAATCGACAGCACAGACTTCCATGCGTTCTCACTGTATACTGGACTTCGGTACACTCCTTGAGAATCCAGACTTAAAATTTGAAAATCTCTCCAGAAATGATCGTGGAACTGACCGGAGAGCAGCTGAAAATCGCTGAGACCCAGCTTATAAGATTCTTACCTCGGTCGCAACCGGTGTGTGAAGTCAGGTCTGCCGTGAGAACAAATTCTGTAGCCTATTGCAAGTCGACTACTAATATGAGCTCCTCTTATTTGTGTTTGCTTGACAACACCTTAAATATATGCACTGCCATTCTTTGTAGGCCTGTTACAGTGTAGCTTAACTAGTTATTTTATTTTTAAGGTTTATGGTTATTTGGTCCTCACAAACAGAGTCAGATTAGACCCTGTAAAGGTCTTAGCGGACAGATGGCCGGACTTCAGTGTCATTGTCTGCAAACCACAATGCGAACAGGTAACTACTTATCTACATACATATCGTTTCTTTGTATTTCTGTATTGACAGTATCTTCATATCTCATTTTTCTGACAGAAGGGTGATCTCTTCAAAGACACACTGGTTTTTGCAAATGATGAACCTATTCTGAAGGAAACCATAAGGAAGTCCTCTGTTATTGATTGGACCAGATACTTTTGTCTTGGTAATAGCAATAAGCACATTTCTTCTTTTCATTGTCTCTTTAATAACAACATCAAAAGTCACTTCATTTAGCTCTTAATCAGTTTCTTTTCCTAGCAAATAGCTCTTACCCAGTGACTGGATGGTCACTGAAATACTACCATGCCATTCATGCACTGATCTTTGCACTCCTATTATTCAGCTGTATTTTGTTTAGATCATAAGATCATAACATGATTCTTACATCACTCAGTGACAAAATATAGAATAGAGAGGCAGTTATGATATCCGGACACCTGACAGTGTTAAATTTGTAGTGCTGCCTTTAAGGTGTAAATTTATTTAGAATTTTTATTATATACTTTTATTGTGTTTGAAGTTCGCCTATTGTTAAGGCAGGTCGTTTAGTGATCTGAGAAAGAACAAAGAACAGTGCCTCAGTGCAATTACAGTACAGAATGATTACATGGCAAGAGCAAAACAATAGGCTGATAAGAAAGAAGAAATTAGCTAGACGAGATGTGATGACAGGGAATGAGAATTGAGACGGGAACAGAAACCCTCTATTATAGGAAGACTATTTAAAACATACTTATTACTCGCAAAAATATCAGAGGATCTTTTGAGACATTTGTTTTGTCTTTCAAATACATTTATAGGTTCATGTAGGTTGAAAACACCTCTTACAGACTGAATACCTTGAATCTTCCTGTTTAAATACATTTTCTCAGAACTAACTTTTCCATTAAAAAATATAACTATTACTTCTTTTCAAGGAATTAATCTTCGTCACGAGGATATATTCAAAGCAGTGGCAGCAGAAAAAGGTGTAAGCAGCAGCAAGCTGGCAGTGTGTCACATGATGATACTGGAGGACATAGGAAACCTTCCCTCTATAGACAGGTAAAGCCTATCCATGCAATGATATCTTTAGTGTCTAGTGTGCCACAGAGTCATTCTCTTAGGTTTAATAGTTCATTAATGAAACAGGATTCTGCTCTGTTCTGCATCAGCTCAGGGATCTCAGTGAGCTCTCTGGATGAATCTCACGTTGGCTTGGTGAATCAGACGTGGAAGTTTGGAAAGAGCGGGGAGGCTGCCAGGATGATCCGGAACATGCTCGCAAACTTCCCCTCCTGCTGCGTGCTGGATGCAGAAGGAAAGCCCGTGTCCTGGATCCTGACTTATGCGTCGTGTGCCATGGGGATGCTGTACACTCTGCCAGAGCACAGAGGGAAAGGCTTTGCTAGAGTCCTGGTCAGCGCCATGGCCAAGAAACTCCACACTCAGGGCTACCCAGTGTATTGCTTCATAGAGGAGGAGAACATGCTCTCATACAGGCTCTTTAAAAACCTGGGCTTCATTGAAGATCCCTCATACAGAGAAACCTGGTTTGGATTCAATGATCTTTAAAGATCTCAAAGAAGAAGTCCCTACAATGTTAAGTTTTTCTCAGAATGTTAGCTAATAAATGTGCCTTTGTATCGTAGAAAAGGGCAAAGGTGAACTGAAAAATCTAGTCAGATTTTAGGGAGAAAAAGCCAAGGGGGTAAGCCACAGCTGAAACAGAGAAGCTGACCAAAGCCTGCATGGACGGTTCCATGAGAGATGTAAACATATTGCTTAGATTATAAACTCTCAGTGAATCTAAAACAACTATTCGGCCATCAGTGACGCTGCATTGGTGTTTTGCAGGTGAGCCTCATAGGTGGGCTGATTAAACAGGGACGATCCGAGTCAGACAAACGGAGCTAAGAAACTTTTTGTTTGTGCAGCTGTGCAGCTACCAGAATTACGGTGTTTCTGTCGTTGTTCTACATCATTAAACCACGGTTATGTTGCGTGATCATGCGCAGTAGACACTGGTGCCAACAGGAAGTAGCCCTGTAGTAGTATTTTATTGGTCCAAAACTGGCTTTACTGCTCTCCATTCAAATCAGTGGGGTGGCTTCGTCCAGTAATATACTGTCTATGGAAAAAGCTCATGCTACTGCATGGGAGCATGTTGTACTTCCTGTTCAGGTTCACTTGCTTTAAACTGTTCATGAACATGCGCTTGCAGATTTCTGAGTAGCTGAGGAGAACTGTAATCTTTCTTGGTCATTGTCATATTTTAATTTATCTATTACAGAATATACAATTTATTGATTATCCATGCATTGCAAAACAACCTGGACTGTTTAGCTAACACAAAAAAATACAATAATAATATCACCTGTTCATAATATGGACAGGTATTTAGAGGAGAGATCCAAATGAAAATGAGCTGTGTTGAGACAATGAACTGTTTGGGTCAACCCATAACGATAAGTTCCTTGGCATCCTAGAATTGCTATCACAATTTGACCCATTCTTAGCTGAACATATTAAAAAGTTGAAGTGGAAAAAGAAGAGGCACTGTGTCTTATTTGTCATAGACAATATGTGATGAAATCAATGAGCTAATGGGTGAACCTGACCCATCCTGGGCTTTGAGCCAATTGAGAGCCACATTGGTGAAAGTTAAGCAGAATGTGTGACTTTGATGGTGGAGGACCTTTTGTTGGATCTCTCAAACTGTAGAGATCAGTCATATGACAATGCAAAGTGAAGTATCGTGGAAATTGTATCTCGCTGGTGAGGGATTAAGCAAATAATTGAGTAACAACCAACCGTTGTCTTTGAAGAATTTATTAATAAAAGAGAATGAACAGAGAAGTACTAAGACACCTATACAGCTGGTCCAGAGACCTGACACCTAGGGCAGCTTCGAGCGTCTGGCCCCGAGCAAAGGGATGCATAATCATTTACACAGTCTAGGTTTCTATGTTTTGGGGAACAGAGATCCTCGCTTGGCCTTGAATGAACATTAAAGGAGAGGAGAGGAACAACAAGAGAGGGAAAACACCAAAACAATCTCACAGCTCTGACCTAAACCCTAGTAAATGTGGAGGGACTAGCGAGTATAGAAGAGGGAAAGGTTAAGGATAAAAACACAATACATATATAGCTATAAGACATAACAGTAAGAATAATAGTAAGAATAATAATATTAAAGAACATGCATAAAATATTAAATGTAAGAGGACACAATTTTCTGCCATAACACGCAGTGCATTAACTTAACTTAGCTGGTGTTAACTCTAGAGATGTGATGACACGATATTGGGTTCAAAAGATCGAGACGATGTTTAACACTGTTTTTAAGAAATCTTCAATGATGAATTATATGAACATTTTGAGCAACAAACAGCTAATTTCCTGCATTCTGGTGAATTATTCTACATGAATGTATAGTGGAAATGTCTTTATTTATGTAAAGGGAAACACAAATTTCAGGTGGCAGGTGAAAAACTATAACAGAATATAATGCAGTCAGGCTCTCAGGCATTCTGTGCTGCTTTCAGATATGTTTTCTCCTGTAGATCAACTTTTCTCATGTCATCCCTGCTGAGTCAGCACACACGCATGCATGATTCAGTCTTCCCTTCTCTTTTGAGTCTTTTGTTTGTGGAAGTAAACTCTTTAAATATGCAAGTGGCACCTTTTCATCTCAATGATAAATTATTTCATTTTAATTCAGTTATAAACTCCCGGACTTTAACAGCTCATCTGTTTCAGCTGGTTTTCTGCTCATGTTAAAAAAAAAAGGGCGATTTTAGGATCAGACTTTTAGGAGGGCTCAGCCCTAGTGACAATGTGACATACATCCATCTTGACTTCCCTATTTGTCCACTTTCTTACCCGGTTCATCCTGCTCTCGCTGTCTCGGTCTATACTAGAGAAAGACATATAATCTAATAATAAATAAAGCAAACAAAAAGAGTATTTACATTGTAAATAAAGTAATTCATTACAAGTATTAGCCTAGTAATGTAGAGTCCACTGAATTGAATATGGGCAGAACTGTAGCTGACTTGGCTATGTGGACTGGGCTACCTGTCCACTTACTCACCCGGTTTACTCACTCTCTCTCTTTGTCTCTGTGCCAACTCCATCCTGCTCTCTTTCCTTCTCTTCCTCTCTACCTCTTTGTGTTGTCAACCAAAAGGCAACCAAGCAGAGTAGTTATCATATAATAAGAGGTTATATCTCATTTGGTGGGTGTGTCAGAGGTGTTACCCTAACTACAACGACCTGTATAAACCCAGCCGGCTTAGTGCAGTGCGCTTGCTTAAACAACAGGGTGTTCAAGGCACCACATTTCAGTTAAATAAACATTAAGCTACGTTTAGTTTTGGCTGCAGTCGTCCTTGGACTTCGAGGGAACTACGCACTTCGGTATACTTTCCTTGTCTGCAAACCACAATATGAACAGGTAACTACTTATCTACATACATATCGTTTCTTTGTATTTCTGTATTGACAGTATCTTCACATCCCATTTTTCTGACAGAAGGTGATCTCTTCAAAGACACACTGGTTTTTGCAAATGATGAACCTATTCTGAAGGAAACCATAAGGAAGTCCACTGTTATTGATTGGACCAGATACTTTTGTCTTGGTAATAGCAATAACCACATTTCTTCTTTTCATTGTCTCTTTAATAATAACATGAAAGTCACTTCATTTAGCTCTTACTCCGTTTCTTTTCCTAGCAAATACCTCTTATCCAATGACCGTATATTCATTGCACTCCTATTATTCAGCTGTTTTTTTCTTATTTAGTAATTTGCTATTACATAGCAGCATGATTCTTACATCACTCAGTGACAAGACATAATAACGGAAGAGGCAGTTATGCTACCTGGACACCTGACAGTATAAGTGATGTTTCCAGTGCTGCCTTTAAGATGTAAATTTGGCTTTTTATGTCATTATACACCACAAACAGTTATGAGAGCAAAAAACACATAGGTAAATACTAAAAGAGAAATTAGCAAACAAACGAGAGAACAGAAACCCTCAACTCTAAGCAACCTATGTAAAACTATGGGCGGAAATATGTTTCACTAGTGCCTGAATTTGAATAATTTAAATTGCACAATCTGAATTACATACATTTAAAAACTGAATTTCAATAGCATTATTTGAATTATTTAATTTATTAATCAGGAATTAGTTTGGAGTTTGGAGTGTAATTGTAAGAAAATAAATTCAGTTGCTCTTAAACTGTATTTGATCCTCTCTGAAAATTAAATTCTCTCTCTATATATCTCTTTCTCACTTTCTCAGAACACAAAAACACAAATGCCAAACTCAGTTTCACCTGTTTGTAAATAACTTTACTAAAAATATAACTTTATTATTTCTTTTCAAGGAATTAATCTTCGTCATGTGAATAAATTCAAAGCAGTGGCGGCAGAAAAAGATATAGCCAGCAGCAAACTGGCAGTGTGTCACATGATGATACGGGAGGACACCTTCCCTCTATAGACAGGTAAAGCCTATCCATGCAATGATATCTTTAGTGTCTAGTGTGCCACAGAGTCATTCTTTTAGGTTTAATAGTTCATTAATGAAACAGGATTCTGCTCTGTTCTGCATCAGCTCAGGGATCTCAGTGAGCTCTCTGGATGAATCTCACGTTGGCTTGGTGAATCAGACGTGGAAGTTTGGAAAGAGCGGGGAGGCTGCCAGGATGATCCGGAACATGCTCGCAAACTTCCCCTCCTGCTGCGTGCTGGATGCAGAAGGAAAGCCCGTGTCCTGGATCCTGACTTATGCGTCGTGTGCCATGGGGATGCTGTACACTCTGCCAGCGCACAGAGGGAAAGGCTTTGCTAGAGTCCTGGTCAGCGCCATGACCAAGAAACTCCACACTCAGGGCTACCCAGTGTATTGCTTCATAGAGGAGGAGAACATGCTCTCATACAGGCTCTTTAAAAACCTGGGCTTCATTGAAGATCCCTCATACAGAGAAACCTGGTTTGGATTCAATGATCTTTAAAGATCTCAAAGAAGAAGTCCCTACAATGTTAAATTTTTCTCAGAATGTTAGCTAATAAATGTGCCTTTGCAGCACAGAAAAGGGGAAAGGTGAACTGAAAAATCTAGTCAGAAATTAGGGAGAAAAAGCTCATGATACTGCATGGGAGCATGTTGTACTTCCTGTTCAGGTTCACTTGCCTTAAACTGTAACAGTGGACATGCGCTTGCAGATTTCTCTTTACACATCTCATCTCTTTTCAGAAAAACCACTTGATGCATGACTGGATCTGAAACAAAAATAATAAAATGTTAATGTAAATGATGTGAATATTTATTACTGCTCTGGTGCTAGGTGTAAATGAAAACTCGTGGCAGGGCTTTAGGTTATGCCCATGCTCATTATTAAATGGTCTTTTCAATTGATAATTTGGTCTGTAAAAGGTCAACTACCATGTGAAATTGCCATCACAAGTAACTACAGCCCAAAGTGAAGTCTTGAGACTATTACCTCATTAATAAATTATCAATTACATTAGAAATTTCAACTAAAATTTTCAGTTTTACTAGTTTATGGAGGCAAATACTATCAGCGAGAGCAGGTTAATAACAACATAATCAAACAGTAGGAATGCATTTATTTCTGGAAAAAAACATGATGTATTAAAAACAAAAGTGGAAACAGAATTGACTTTTATTTTTAAAGGAACAGAACAAAGTGTTGCGACTGCTTCACCTCTGTTCTGTGAACTCTTCGAGACGAATCAACCATGTTTTCCAGTACTCCAACATCAGCTCTGAGCTCAACTGATGAGCGTGGGCAGGTGAGCCATCCTTGTAGGCTACTACAATGAGTCCATTTTCCACCTGCAATAGGACGAGAGCAGTGGCGTATGAGGCCGTGTCGTACACTGTGGCAGACACACAGTAATCACAAAGATTCAATATTCTTTTAAGATTCTATCATTTATCTTTAAAGCAAGGAATCAGTTACATGATCAAGCAAAGAATTATGAGATCATCAATGCTCTCAGTAGATCACCTGGTATTTGTAGTTGCCATCGTTGTTCAGAGCCCCGGCGTAGGCTGCCACCTGAACAGGGTTGTCGTATGTATTGCTCAGGAATGGTTTGGGCTTCTCTGAAGTCTTCCAGTCAATAACACAAAGTACACCCCTGCGGTACAAAAATGGACCGTGTGAGTGTAGTGAAGGTTGGTGGGAAACGTCAAGTCTGGTATGGAAAAAGCCCAGCCTACATTTGTCTGCAAATGTACCTGTAGCGAGCAACACAGTCCACAATTCCCAGATAGTTGAGCGTGTCATGTTGCACAGTGCTTTCGATAGCTCTCACTGCTTTGACGTCCTCCAGTATGTGAGAGATGCTCTCCATGTATCCCCCTACCTCAGGTGGACACTCTGGTCTCTCTGAAGGATTTTTGTTTTTCCATGTTGCCCCTGATGTAAGAATGTCCTCCAAAGCTGAATGGAAAAGCTTCCCTTGCCTGAATAAATCTGATTGAATACAACAAAGTTCAGTCACTTTTTAGTCATGCCTCTGGAAACCCCACAATACCCAAATTACATTTACTCCAAAAACTCACTCTGGGTGTATTCTTTGAAGCCTTCCTCTCCAAGCTCTGCGATCATCTTCCTCTTCCATCTCTCCAGGTAGAAGATCTGCTCTGGGGAAAGCGTCTGCTGAAGAATGCGAGTCACACTCGGTATGAAAGACCTGCCTTGGTTTCGGTTTAACACAATCCGGGCAGGAGGTCCTGACTCTGGCTCCTCAGATCCTGCAGTCTCTTCACAGTGTAAGAAGGGATGAAGGGTTTTAGGGACCCTCTCTGGTTTTGAGGAGGGCGCCTGAGATTTGACAACAGGTCCATACATATGCTCGTCCTGCGCTTGGAGACTCTCGGGGGTTTGAGAACTGACCCTGGATGACATGACAGACTTCACAAGGGAAGAGTAGCGCTCACTGTCCACTGAGCTGTACGGGCTGATTCGCTTTGAGGATGTTAGGCAATGGCTAGTAGAGAAATTGCCCACAGAGAGGGAAGTGCATTGAAGAACAATAATGCCTCCCACGGACACCGCGCGCTTAAGAATGAACATTCTGGCGACTTTTACACTAATTACAAGCTTGAAATACTAAAATTTAGGCCTATTGGCTATCTAACAACATAGGCCTGCGTACAGTGGCTTCAATGCTTTTACATTACATTTAAGATTTCTGCCCTCATTTTGGTGAGGGTACTTGCCCCGACTTGTTCCTGAGTAACTCGCCCAAACAAACACAACTGTTTCTGAACGACGCGCCTGTTCGGTTGCACACACTTCCGTAGCTGGGACTTCCGGGTACGGCATTTGCGTCTTCTTCTTCTTCTTCTTCTTCTTAGTTAATGGCGGATTGCAAACAACTTTTAAGTGCATACCGCCACCTACTGTACTGGAGTGTGTAACATCATATCACTCAGCTATCAACCTCAATAAGGTGCTCTTATATTCTGTTCACCAACCAAGTGTCTTTAAGAAATTTAAATAATGCCTTCCTGGTGATTCTTATACCCTTTTCTTCTCCTTCTGTTCCCAATACCCCCATCAGATTCCATTCCCGCCCTGCTTCCTGAACCCTATCTTGAAATATCTGTCTTTCCAACTCAAACAATATGCAGTGCAAAATGATATGTTCAACATTTTCTTTAACCCCACAGTTTTAACACTTTTCACTATTCCTTTTCCCCAGTAAAAACAAGGTGCCATTCAATTTTTATTACTGACAGACTTTTGTATTTTATAGTAACTCCTTCCTTTCCTGTCTTCCTCCCACCATTTCTGCCATATTTCAGTACCTTTCTTCTTAATGGCTGTTTTTCCTTCTCCTTTTCCTTCCTTGAACTGTTATTTCCTTTTGTAATGCCTCTTTTGCTAGTTTGTCTGCAATCTCATTTCCATTTACTCCCTCATGAGCTGGCACCCAGCAAAACTGAACATCTATCCCTCCCCGATGTAATCTTAACAAGCTGTGAAATATTTCTATCAATAGGTCTTCTCTGACAGATGTCGTTGACTGAATGCTTTTAATAACTGCTAAGGAGTCTGTGAATAATATCACCCTATCAGGTCTGACCTCTTCAACCCACTGTAATGCTATAATGACTGCCACTATTTCTGCTGTATATACGGATAGCCTATCCGATAATCGTTTTGAGATATTTATTTAGAATTCTGGTATATGTATTCCAATTCCCACACATTCCTGTTTGTTTTTAGATCCATCTGTATAGATTTTTAGATAATTATGGAAACTGTTTCTCAGATAGCTGCTAGTCTGTATTCCCACTTCCTCTATGTCCTCTGTGTCTCTCCAGCTTCTATGAGTATTGTGTTAATGGGAGTTGTCTTAATGGCTCCAATGCATATCCGTAAGGCTCTGTATTGTAATTTATAAATTTTTTCCAATGTTGTTTTTGCTGCTGCATCATATACTATGCAACCATAATCTATTGATGACCTCACGCATGCTCTATATATGTCAATTAGTGACTGTTTTTCTGCACCCCAGTTGCATCCCGCCACCACTCTCAGTAAATTAATAACTTTTTTTGTTTGCATTTAGTTTCCAATTGCTTTATGTGTGTTTTCCATGTGTACTTACTATCAAACCACAATCCCAAATACTTAAATTCATATACTTTTTCCATTGGCTGCTGATATAGAAAAAGCTTTTGTATATGACACTTTCGCTTGTTTGTGAACACCATATAACAGGATTTGCTTGTTGATATTTTAAATCCCCACTTGAATGACCACTTCTCTACTTTCCCTATTGCTTTCCTAATGTTCTCTAACACATATGTCTCATTTCTTCCTCTCATCCATATGGCCCCATCATCTGCATATAACGCTGATTTGATGTGTCCATCTAAATCTGAAAATATATCATTAATCATAATGTTGAATAATATAGGGCTACTTGCGCTCCCCTGGGGAATGCCATTATTTACCTTAAACTCTGGAGAAATTTCTGATCCAACCTTTACTCTAATTTTCCTATCTGTTAAAAAGTCTAGTATCCAGTTATAAATCCTTCCTTCAAACCCCATTCTATTTAGTTTAATAAGTAGTCCTTCCCTCCACATAGTATCATATGCCTTCTCAATGTCAAAATACACTATTATCATCAGCTCTTTCATTTTCAGTGCCTTTTCTACCTCATTACTTACTCTAACGAGAGCATCTGTTGTGGAGCGCCCTTTCCGAAATCCATTTTGTATATTACTCAGTAGTCCTCTCTGTTCCATTACATGTGATAACCTACGAACTATTATCCTCTCCAACCATTTGCATAAGTGAGATGTCAGAGCTATGGGTCAATAATTACCAGGATTGGTTGGGTCTTTACCAGGTCTGCTAAACTTTTCCAACTTCTCGGTATTATTCCATCCTTCCATATTTTATTGAACAGTCTTAACACTAGCTTAATTGACCCTACTGGCAGCTGTCGGGATCATGGCATAACATAACTGGTCTTGTCCTGGGGCTGTATATCCCGTGCCAAGCAGAGCTATATTGAGTTCTGTTATTGTAAAATCCACATCTAAAGTTGTTGTACCATCTTCCCTCTTCAGCTTCACATCCTTATTTTCTCTGAGTGCCAGGTCTTTCTGTTGCTTATGAATATCCATAAGGTGATCACCACTATGCACAGCCGCAAAAGCCCTACCCAACATCTCTGTCTTTTCTTTGTCTGACACCACCGTCTTTCCTCCATCTATCAAAGCTGGGATTTTAATCACTTTCCTTTTCCCACTCATTCTTTTAAACATAGACCATATATCCCCTAACTCTACACCTCTACCTATGGTGGAACAGAACTCTCTCCAATTTTTCTTTTTGGTTAACTTAATTGTCCTACGTGCCACTGCCCTTTTCCTTTGAAAATCAAAAACACTCTCTTGTGATGAATTCTTCTTTAATGTTTTAAAGGCTTTGTTTCGTTCTTTTACAGCTCTGCTACACTCCTCATTCCACCAGGGGATCACTTTCTTCCTGCCCTTTGTTGTTCTGTTTGGAATACTTAAATGTGCTGCATTTATAATGTGTTCTGTAATTTGCTTTGTGCATTCCTCTATATCACCTTCTAACGTCACAAGGTTTGCTGACTTCGTACAACATAACCTAAATTTTTCCCAGACTGCTTTCTCAAAGCACCATCTGTTAATTGTACTTCCTTCTTGGAAACATACATTTGTGTTAACAATAGTGAGAACTGGAAAATGGTCACTTCCTATGGTAGAATCATTCATAACAAACCATTCACATGCGTTTACCAAATTATCTGATACCAGTGTAATATCTAAACATGATGTTTTACCCCTATTCACATCCATTCGTGTTCCCTGTCCATTATTAATGCAGACCAGTCATCTTTCTTCCATCATTTCTTCAATTATGTCCCCATTATTATCTGTGTGATTGCTGCCCCATAAGCTGTTGTGTGCATTGAAGTCCCCACACCATATTTCTTTCCTGTATACAGTCCCTGCCATTTCATTAAGTTTATTGATATCTAAGTTTTTGCATGGGTTATAGAAATTAATCAATTTAACATTTCCCTCTTTCCTTGGGCTATAGATTTCAGCTATTATACATTCTGAATCTTCTGAGCTTGGGGATTCCCTGTAGGCAAACTCATCCTTGATAAAGGTGATGCACCCTCCACCAGTTTGGTTGGGTACGGCATTTTATAACGTTAGAAACTACATTACCCATAATGTGCAGCGTAACATTGAAATACATCCGTGTGGTTGTTGATGCTCACTTTAGTTAATTTCATTTATTTGTTCTGCTCATTACGCCTCATCTGTTTGTTACCTAATTAAAACCAAATGTAACATGTGCTGTTTAAAAATAAGTTATCACATAGCCTTTATCTCAAACCACGGGTAGCCTATAAAAATGTGGTATGACTGATTAGGTTCAAAACCAATCATAGCATTTGTAAAGTCGATGTGTCCACTCAAATTCCCTTTAAGGTGGAGTTTAATCTTTCATCGTCAGGATGGGGGCGACAAAGGAACGATTTGACAGCTTGTCAGGCAGCAGAGGGAGAACTTCCTGCATATAACGTTAGTTTATAGCTGGTGGTTTTGTTATTTGCGTTGTTGGCCTGTTCTTGCTATTCCGTCGACTTCAATCCAGTCATGACATCCACATTAGACGAAAGCAGCAAGGAAAAGGTAAGTTAAATGGGCCTTAGCATGTAGTTAAAGTGCACCTAAAGTCAGACCTGGTAGCATTAAGGTTGCTAACGATATAGCTAACACTAACGATTGCTTTCTGGCTAAGTTGTTTCCGCTAACTTGTGTTGTTTTCTGTCTACACGACGCTAGCATCTGGCTAAAGCGAGCTAACGTTTTATAGATAACGCTACCAAGAAGCGGGTAACGTTAAAACGAGGAGTGTCAAACTGCATGTATGCAGAACAGTGTTGTTTGCTAATGTTACCTAACTTACTGAACGTGTCAAAACATGGAACGTTAACGTTCACGACAACGTATAATATAGTTAGCGTTAAAGTTACAGAAAAGTAACATCACTGTATCTCTTCTACGTGTTTAACGTTACTCCATTAACGCTGTGCAGTAAACTGGCCTGTGACAACTCAGCTGACTTTGAGCTAAAATTGTTAGCGTTCTTACAGGTGTCCAGATAACTTTAACATTGCCTTCTTGTTTAATTTTTTGGAGAGGTGTGTATTCAACGTTATGGTCATTTTGGAGGATATAGTTTGTGCTCCTGTTGAGCTGTATTGCGTTATACTGAGAAGAGTTTCTAATATTTTCTCTATCCTTTGTACGGTATGCAGTCTATTAAATCAATGAGGTAAGACTATAGACTGTGTATAAAAAGTAAGACTACAAACGACAGCCTCAAAAATGAACACAAAAACTGAACATTGTATCCTTGATAGGTGTACCAAAAAAACTGGCACACTAAGTGTAAGGTGTATTCTTTCACCAGCAAGATAGTTAGTCAAGACTGTTTATTCTTTATGTTATAACAGATCAAGGAGAGTGTGGGATTAGCTCTTAAAACAGTTGCCTTATTGGCTAAGATTGTGCTGATACAGTTAAATATGTGAATTATACTGACTATACTGAATTACAATTATTGGTATTATTAAAACAATATTCAAAATGCAACAGATATGAATTGTGCTTGATTCGTGTCCCTCGTTTTACAGTTTAAAAAGAAACCTTCAGAGAGGCAAAACTGTAGACAAATCAAAACAAGACACAGTAAATAAACTGGCGTTTATCATATAGTCCAGAGGGATGATCAGACGAGAAACCTGCTGCATATTTCTTAAAAGCAGAATTTGAAACTACGTGACCACAAATTTCTTTTTAAAAATTGCATTTGTACTTGACAAGTGATCATTTTTGTGTGTACACATAACATCAGCCAGCTACATTTGTTTGGATAACCTGGTGTATTCTTTCTACTTAGATGCGTGCTGTGTCTGTGGATCTAAACAATGACGCCTCTCTTCTCATTGACATTCCTGATGCACTCTGTGAAAGGGACAAAGTCAAGTTTACTGTCCATACAAAGGTAAAAAGTTTGTATCCCATGACATAAATTTACTCCTAACCTTAAGGATATTATATAAAGGTATTTGCTGATATGTTGACAGTTGTCCTTACAAAACACTTAACATTTGGTCTGTTCCCAGACCACACTTAGCTCTTTCCAGAAGCCAGAGTTCTCCGTTCCCAGGCAGCATGAAGACTTCAACTGGCTACATGACACCCTGGTTGAGACAGAGGAATATGCTGGGCTCATCGTGAGTTAGACTACTGAGTTTAATTGTATATTACACATTAACACCATTTAACCTGAACCGTGAACCATTTATTTCCTGCTGAACATCTATAGATTCCTCCAGCGCCCCCAAAGCCTGACTTTGAGAGCCCAAGAGAGAAGATGCACAAACTGGGGGAAGGTGAAGCCACCATGACCAAGGACGAGTACACTAAAATGAAGCAGGAGCTGGAGGCGTGAGTTTGACACTCAAACAAACATGCACTTATTGTTTAACAAAAACATCTTCTTGCTATTCGTATTGTCTGCGTAATGTACACTCTTTTCTTTTCAGTGAATACCTGGCTGTTTTCAAGAAAACTGTTCAAGTGCATGAAGTCTTCCTGCAGAGATTGTCCTCTCACCCCGTTTTAAGCAAAGACAGAAACTTCCAGATTTTCTTAGAGTATGACCAGGATGTGAGTTCCTCATAATGCTGACTTCCTTTCCCGAGTTGTCAGTTGGAAAGACAGGAAGTAGCGTTTGCTGGATACTTGTGACCCATAGCTTACATCCTGCTGTGATCAGCAGTTATGCTTATATTTGTAGTCTTTGTCAATCAGTATTTGTGGTGTTCGTTACAGAGCATAGCTAAGAGTTAAATTAATAATTAAATAACTATTGACTATTGTACAATCACAAACATTACTTCAGCCCCTACTTAGTCAAATTGCATGCTTTAATAAATAAATCACAGTGCTCTTAATATGTATTCCTTTATAAATCCTGTCATTTTAGCTGACTGTGAGAAGAAAAAATGCCAAGGAAATGTTTGGAGGATTCTTTAAAAACATGGTGAAGTCGGCCGACGAGGTCCTTATCTCAGGAGTAAAGGTGGGGCTTTTGCATGATCCGCTTACAGTATATAACAGAATAACAGATGCAGTGCTGTTGGCACTTCCTCAATTACCTTTGTCTGTGTGTGTTTGCTATCCACACAGGAAGTCGATGACTTTTTTGAGCAGGAAAAGACGTTCCTTCTCGACTACTACAGCAAGATAAAAGATTCCACTGCCAAAGCAGAGAAAATGACTCGCTCACACAAAAGTATTTGAGAGTTTATTAGCATGTTAAAATGCATTTTGGAATTTTGCTTAGTTTTAATTGCTCATCTCCGTTATTACAGATATTGCGGATGATTACATTCACGTCTCTGCCACTCTGAACAGTATCTCTGCTGATGATAGCACAGCAAATAAGAAGTGAGTGTGGTTTAAAATTTAGTGACTTTTATGCAAAGACAAACTAGTGTATGAAGATTTTAAGCAATGGTTCTCGTTTGGCCATATCTTGTGGACTGCAACAAATCTCTGCTTGTAGAGGTGAATTGTTACTTTTTTTATTTATATCTCATGGCTTTGCTTTTTTTCTCAGACACCTGGAGAAGTTGTCAGACCTGTTTGAGAAGCTCCGAGTGAGTAGAACTTCAAAAACCAACAAACTGAGACACCTTTGTAAATATTTGTCCAGATTTCCAGATTACCACTGTTATGTGTCTTCATTTGTGTCCTTGCAGAAAGTAGAGGGAAGAGTAGCATCTGACGAGGAGCTGAAACTCACAGAGCTGCTAAGATATTACATGAGAGACATCCAGGCCGCCAAGGTGAGACATGTTTACCTATTCCTACAAGATGCGCAGATTCACAGCTATGTTGTAAAAGTTGTGTTTATGAAGTTCCATTATTGCTGTATTTCAAACACTTTATGCATCCCAGTCTGACCAGATAGAACAATACTCATTGAAATAACAAACAATCTGCAGTATACTACAGATCAGGGCTCAGTATTAATCATCATTGTCCTTTTACAAGTAAATCTGAATGAAGATTTAGGAATAAAATTTGTCACATTAACCTCTCTGCAACCCGCCAGGACCTTCTGTACAGGCGAGCTCGGGCGTTAGCTGACTATGAGAACTCTAACAAGGCTTTGGATAAGGCTCGACTGAAGAGCAAGGATATCGCCCAGGCAGAGGAGTACCAGCAGCAGTGCCTGCAGAAATTTGACAAGCTCTCAGAGTCTGGGAAGAAAGGTTTGTGCGTCCGCGCATCTGAGATGCAGGCTTATTCTTTACTGGTTTCTTTGTGTGTAAAATGGCATGCACTGTCCAAGCACTTTTTAACTGAATGCTGTCATCCTCACAGAACTCACCAGTTTCAAGGGCAGGCGTGTTGTTGCCTTCAGGAAGAACCTCATAGAGATGGCTGAACTCGAGATAAAACACGCCAAGGTGAGCGGCTTACCATCACACCTTGTACTTTGTAATGAAGTGTGGTGATTTTCACGCTCTCGCATGCACCTGCTAACATCATCAGCAGGAATATCTCAATCATCATCATATGTTACAAGGTGATAAATTAGTGCTGGGCAACGATTACAATTTTTAATTGCATGATTTTCTGCGATTAATCACATTAGTTATGTGCAAAATTGAATAATGAATTCTAAAGTAGTCTATTGCGCACTTTTAATTTAAATGTACTGCTATATACACAAAAGTGCAATAACATATGGTTTGCAAACACTTAAAACAAATAAGGTGCTTTTTACCAGCAAATCTCGGTTCTGATTCCAATCCCTTCACCACAAATCTTGTCACCACTTGCTCATCTTCCCCTTCATGGCTAAAGTGAAAGGAGTTTCTGTACTAGAGGGGCGTCTCTGGGGACTCATATCTAGGAAAATATTAAATGCATAAATATATATTGGAATCATTTGTAGACATCATTCGTTTACCTTCAATATAAAAGGTGAATGTCAGCTTGTGACTGGGAAACATTTAAAATTTTTATTGGATCATGGATGTCCTCGTGACTCGGACTAGGAGTATTAATACTGTTTTCTCCTGTCTCCACAGAACAATGTGAGTCTATTGCAGGGATGCATTGACCTGCTCAAAAGCAACTGATATGTTTTCAAGTGTTCCTGTCCTACCATCACCAAGTGACCAGTCATAGCAAATGGAAACCTGGCGTCCTCGGGGCCTTGCATGGACATGACTCCAAGCCCCATCTCTGCTCCTACCCATGGGTCTGATGCCACTTAAAAACCCTGCTGGAGACTAAGTGTCTTGTTCACAGAATGTCTTCATGTTTACAGAGTCCCTGTCCTCTGCTCCATGATCCATCCTTTTCCAATATCTTTGGAAGTCTAACTCATTGTGAGTGCCTCCAGATAATGAGGCTGCCAACATTAAGGTCTTCGTTTCCTTTGCAGCACCAGTAGAGGTGATCCCCCCCCCCCCCCCAATTTTTTGTTTTCTCATTTCTTACATTATGCACATAATAGAAATCCTTGTCTTTTTTTGATCGTACTTCTGCCTCCATAAATTCAGCCTCCAACCTATTCTTTCATATACCCTTTTAAATTTTTTCTTGGAGAATGTTTTTCACATAGCCATAACTTAAGTTTTATGATTCATATGTTTAATCTGTTGGGATTTTCTTTGTTTGCTAATGGGACAGTTTTACAGAAACAAAGCTAGTCCCTGGAAAAACATCCTCATGCTTTGAATTCCCGGGTTCTGAGATTAGAGTGCAGACAAACCAACCCTGTAGTAAGGAAACTCATGACCAACTTGGTAATCAAGACAGATCATCTTCAAGTGTTCAAGAATAGCTGCACGTCACCTCAGGAATGGACAGCTGGATCGGTCCCCATTTTCTTGTTTGTAAGAAGTGGCTAGTTTTGCAAATATGGATGAGCGAGAGATTGGTGAGGAGGAGAGTAAGTCAAACAATAAGTTAATTGAGCATTTTTTATCTCGGCAAAATAAACATTAGTAATGACTGAGTCTGCATTTTGTTATTTGCACAAGGCACTCATAATACCCCTGCACTACATGTATTACGTCCTCAGCAGCTTCGTCGCCCAACCAACTGCCAATTCACTCTTTCCTTTTAAGTGTGTAATTATTGTTTTTCTTTATTTTTCCCTGAATTCCCCTTTTGTTATTGTTGGGGTCTCCTATCAGACCTGTTGCATTTACCAGATCTTCTAAACAGTTTGTTAATTTTAAACAGTTACAAAAACATGCACTAAGAAGATGGAGAAAAAAAACCCTTCACAATCAAGACCAGGCTCGGTGGAGCGTTAAAATGCATTGTAGTTTTATAAGAAATTGAATGTATTTCTAATGGATTCCAGCTGTGTGAATTCCTTTACATGACACTTTTCTTACAGAACATTAGCATTTTATAAATTTGTAATAATGGCATTGAATAAACTCCTACTTTCCCAAGTTTGATCTGTGACCGTCTGTATTGTGGTTTTGTGTTGTATGAAAATACAGTCTGTGTTTTAAAGAGCTACCCATCATACCACTAGGTGGCGGAGTCTGTCTATCCACTGTATCCTGCTTTTACCGTGTGGGCCCTTGAACTTAAACACAGCTGGATGCATGTTTGTGTTAAATCCATTGACCACAGTGGATCCTGGGATGGGACCATGTGGTGTATTAGGTAAGCTTTGAGGAAATGCCAGAGAGCTCGTGGGAATTGCCATCACCAAAATGCACATTTCATGTCCTACATTTTGAGCAGCACTAAGCAACATGACCTAAACAAATAATCTGCACAGAAACTGAACTGCTAGTCTTTGCATTACAGTGTGTTACCTTATTGATGGTATGTATTTAAAGGCATGGTTTTAAGAAATTTATTTTGTAACATGCCACATGTGGTGTTGCTATCGATTATTGGAAAAATGTTGTGCTTAATAACTTCATTTAGCTGCACTTGAGTAATTCCATGCACACAGCGGTGAAAGGTTACACCTGAATGAGACGTGGAGAGGTCTTAATGACCACGTGCGTAGACTGGGCATACAGTACCAGTCTATGATGGATTTGTCAATATTGACACCAGTGGTGCAGTCAGAGTGACTTGTTCTGGTCCTTTCACTGATTGGATGAAATCACAGCCAATGAGATCATAACACATCATCAGTACAAACGGGTTAGTTTGCAAATTGCGATCATCGGAGCAAACAGTATTTAAGAATTGCTCTGGAGGATCCAAAGAACAAGGCCTCTTTTGGAACATGAAGAGGAATAAGTAGCCTGAGGTGTCAGTTTTATGGTGCCAGGATCTAGGCATTTACTTACAGTATGCATATTTCCCTTCAATGTGTGAAAATACGCAGTTACTGATCTGAGTGTCTGTCTGTCTGATCTGATCAGAATGAAACAGAAAAGTATCAGTCCTAAATTTAGTTTGTTTTTTTTTATGTTCCCTTTATGTAGCTGCTGTGTTATTATGATAAATAATTTTCTCCCTCCCTGCTTTAATCACAGAACTAAAACTTTTGAAGCAATGATGCCCTGTGTAAAAAATGTCTGCGCTGGTGTAAAGGAACACATCTGCTTGCTTCAAAGACTTATTTCGCTGATTTTATGAATTTCCTTATCTCCCCTCGGGCACGCATAGATAATTTGCAGTCTCTAAATGTATGATAAGGAGTAAGATTTTGCTCATTTTCTGAGCTTTTGGGGACCATAGAGATTTGCCATTAATTAAATCGACAACATCGAAACTATCAGGCCCAGGAATTTGCAAATGCATAATGGAGCGCTATCATTAAAAGGACAGAGCAAATACTGGGGGGAAAAGGCATGCGTTCACGTGTATGTTTTCATGCTGTGTCATGTCATGAAATACAAGTGAGTTTGTGAGTCTATTACCATTACCTGCCTACATCTTAACTTAGACTAACTGAGCCTTTGAGAGCACTTGCCTCATGTCCAACAGTTCTGTACTGTTCAAATGAAAAGTCATGATAAATGCAGACAGAAGCCTTGGAGCAGGAATGGAGGCATGAAGCATGAAGTCCTCCTCAAATAGAAACTGTGTCCTCAGAAGGGACTCGCTACAAAAAATTGCACCTGCAGGGCTTGCTGACGTAACTGAACTGTCTGCACTTCCTTAGTGAAACAGAACAGGATGCTTTGTCCTGGTTCCCATCAGGTAGAATTTGCACACAACTACAGTTGACCTTTCTACCTCTTGAGCTGCACTATACAGTAAGTGTAAAGACAGACCAGCAACACTGACACTGTGGCCTCATATCTCTCTGACATTTGCACCCTCCCTACCTAGAGAGTCTCAACACAAGGGGCTCATACAACAGTCTTCTTCTTTAGCTTCACACAGCAGACTGCAAGTAGAAAATTAAGGAAAACTAACCACCAACTGTCTTTCAAGGGAGCCGTTTGGCAGTTCCAGTATTCAGGTTTTAGCCGTCATTATACTGACGCACAGTGACAAATTACCAGCTTTCTTTAGTTACATGTGGTAACTTAATCAATGAAAATTAAAGGAATACAATTACAAAAATACAAGTTTTGTAGCACATAGGAGTTGTAGAAAATCTTAAGGGCAAGTTTTTACTTCCTTCCACAATGCCATTATGTCAATAAGCCAACACTAAAAAGCTCAAAGGACAAACCTTTTCTGGGTTAGTGTGCCCTGCCCTGCTCAGGCAGTCATCTGCTTTCACGCACACAACATCATCTGAAATTCTAAATAATTTACATGCACACACCAACAAGGCAAGTATTTCATCTCATCACACAACAGAAATATTTTGAGTGTGATTCATCATGTACATTCCTCAGCAGTTGCTGAAGTAAAAAGGCTAGTTATCATCTTGATTATCACAATATGCAAATACTAGAGCAAGACAGAGCTGAGCAAGCAAATCTGGCCAGTGCTAACACATCAATTTACTGCAGCTATGTGATCACTGACCCTGGTTCATCTGCATCAGATGAGAAACACTTGCTGTTTAGAGAGGATAAAGAGTCATATGATTATTGGTTTGTAACTAGTTAGATATTTTGCATCTCAGGATATGACCAGTTTTCATAAGCAAGGAAAGATATGACCTAGGACACCAGCTGAATATAATTATTATTATGTTGTAGGATAGAAAACAAGCTGCAAACTAAAGTGCCATTGAACACGGTTGAGTAGAACTAGGTTGTATATGCTGTAAATGAGGTTAATTATTTTTCATAAACAAGCAACAATTTCACTGTTATATTTTTGACTTCCTCATGATTATATATATTTTTTTGATGACATTTGGAGGCCTTCTTCTTAGGCTCCTGTGCTTTTCCTGCAACAGCAGGAGCCTGCTGAGATCCCACTGGGGGCACTGCCATCACTGGAACGTCCTTAGTGATGGCCTCCAGCACTGGGGCAGTCTCAGCCAAGCCGGCCCCTGCCCCGGCCTCAGTTAAGCCGACCCCTGCCCCGGCCTCAGCCAAGTCGGCCCCTGCCCCGGCCTCAGCCAAGTCGGCCCCTCCGTTAGCCAAACCTGCTAAGTCCACTGCAGCGCCAGCCAAGTCTTCACCAGCTCCTTCCAAGACTGCCCCAGGCTGATGATGACATTTGGTTTGGTATATTGATAAGTATTTTGTTTATTTGGAGGTTCTTTACAATCTACAATCTGTGACTAGACTTGAGCAACAAGTGCCTCCACTTAACATACTATTAGAAGTTGTCTCAAGGATGTCTTTAAAACTGTCAAAATAGTGGCCTGGGGTGCGACAGCATTTTTAGAGCAGAGGAGCTACATATTTCATTGACACTTCATACTTAATCAGTTACAAACGCACAAGAATTCACATTGTGTTTATGTATCCCATTAATACAATATCATTGTAATCTCCCCGTGCTAGTTTTTTGGGCGTAACAATAATGGAAGGTGAGATAAACAAGCTTGACAGCCTGACGTCACCATGGCTAACAATATTATCCTGCAACTTATAGGTGACCTTTCCCCAAATTCAGGCGTGGCCAGTGATAATTATTTCTGGGAAGCCTGTATGCTTGCTTGAAAGGTACTTACTTTTGTTTGTGAAAAAATCCTGATTCTCTGGTCTCTGTAGATCAGAGCATCAGAGGTAAAAGATACATTCAAGATAAATACTAATTGCAAACAATGCTCCCCTAATGCTGTGCAGCCAAGCATTGTTAAAACCCACAGAACTCTATTTTAAATTCAACCAAGATACCAAACATGTTGGGGAAATTTGCATAAAAAAACATGTTGGTTTGCATATTTCCCTCGGTGAAGACAGAACAAGCTGATACTAATTTGCATACACGATACAGCCACATAGAATTACATAATTTAACAATCTTAAGGCTAACAAACTACTGCTACTGTTACATGTAGGCTAACTGTATTTACATCTAGTGGGTTTTTTAAGCAATGTTCCCTGTAACTGTGAAGCGTAACGTCACCAAAAATACAAGAGAAATGAAAAAACTTTACTTGAGTAAATGTCCTTAGTTACATTCCATTTGAAACAATTTCGTTTGACAGAAAACGAGACGACTAATGAGGCTTTTCATATGCGTACAAAACGACAACTCCCAGCATGCTCATTTCCGGCTTGAGTGCATTCCAGCCAATCAGAAGCCTCCTGGTTTTATGGCAGCTATCTGGGGCACGGGGCCAGTACGTCTAGCCAGCTCGAAGTGCCACGACTTCACAGCGGACCACGGATTCTCCAGCGGAGTGAGGGGGAGAGCACTGGGAAAAAAAGCTAGTAAGCTAGGTAGCTGGACAAAAAGGTAGTTCTGGAAAGAAGTCACTTCATCTACAACTCAAAGCGTTTTGCCCTGTCTCCGTTCCCTTTGAAGCAAGCAGACGTAGCTACATCTCCAGTGAGGTTAGTGTGGGAATCTTGAATTTTTTTTATTCATTGAGCCAGGGAAAGCTAGCTTGGAAAGCTACCTACTGCTAACTCCTGAGCTACAGAAAGACGATTAAAGTTATCTGAAATTATTTTAGATTTTTCGTTCTCTAGCTATTTAATTTGCAGTTGTATTATAGCGTTTGTAGCACAGTTTTGTAACGTAAACCGACGCTATAACGTTACAGCCACGTTCATTGATTCATAGTGTTAGCTACAATGCTGGCTTGCAAGTAAAAACGTTAATTAAAAGCATATCACATCCAAATAATTAACTTACAATAACTTACAGGATTATTTGTTCTAATGCATGTATGAATGGATAACCATATGGAGTGTCCTTAATTTATATTAAATCCTTGAGGCCCGTTTAAGTTGTGCTCTCAATATGATCTTTATAGTATTTTTTATATTTAATAAACTGTCTAAGATTAAGTTCTTGGAAGACGTTTGTAAGTAACTTACTGAATAAAAAGTTGGTGTTTTCGAGCCAATATCTTTTTTATTCTTAAAGTGTTTTATTCAAAAGGTAATGAAAGGCAAGTATTGTCTTTAAAGACTATATATATATATATATGCATTTACATCTTTAACCTCCATTACTTAATAAATTTTAGGCTAAAAGATTAAAATTTTAGCTGAAGACGATTCTAAAGCACCCCTTGTAGATGTTCCATTGCCCCTGAATGAAAGTCAGATATTTTGGACTTATGGTTGGTTATATAGTTTGTAACTCTTGCACGTTAGACAGTTTCTTCTTACATAACCCTATCTCTTAAGGACCACAAAATGCACTTTCATCTTCAGAAAGCCACCCTGAGTTAGTTTCTTGCAGTCATCTTTTTCAGTTTGGCCTGAGTGGAGATGCACTGACGTGTGATATCACAGATTTAGAGGCAGTACAAACGCTTCCCTTTCTAGCTTTTAGACCCTGCAATGAACAGGGACTCTGGACTCTGTTTCGATTATACGAAAGTAGCTCTGCCGTTGTCCCCTACCATGTTACAGTGTTGTGTTGTTGTTTTATAACAATGAAGTTCGACATTGCCCTTTTTAGCACTTGTATGTAGTTGTTGTTTTTTTTAACCATCTACAATATAAACGGTACTGATAGTGATGTAAGAATACTCTGCCTCCTACTCTAAGCCAACTTTCCTCCCCTGCAGGCTAAACATTCTGGTGCCTTTAAGAGTCTTAAAGGGATAGTTGAAAGACCCTTTAAGGGATTTCTTTACTGGGGCAGGATATTAACACTGGCCACCATCCAGCTGCTGGGAATTTTGGAAGTTGCTGGTAACTTTGTGTACTTTTTGTCTGTACAAATAAAGTCCTTAAATTCATATTTAGGTTGGATCTTATCCCTTTCACATGTCCACATAACTCCATAATAGCTCTAATAATTTTAGCATTCTGTGTCATATGTGACAAAGAGTCATTTTCATTAGCTTAGTTTGTTTCAGTGCTGAGATTTCACTATGAGGGTGGATTTGAGCATGTTTTGCCCCAAGTCCACAACTATATGGCGTGTGGGTTTGGAGCAGCTGTTATTTGTCACACAGTTGGCTGATAAGATCAGCTTCATGTAGCCAGCCTCAAGGCAAACGTTTATGGGGATAGCAGTGACACCTTAAGGCTTTTGAAGGTAAAGATTGTAGTTGTTCTTCATACAGATTAATCACAATACTATCTCCTCTGCTGCTCTGTTAATACAGCTGCTGTCAGTTCAGTTTTAGAGAAATACTGTCAGCAATATTTTTGGCTTACCTATCAATTAGTATATGAACTTCTGTCTCTCCACATAGAAATCCCTGGACTTTTCTTGTCGACAGTTTCTGTTTTTAGAAAAAAATCTTTTTAGTTGTGAACTGTGTTAACAAGTCTGTCACTCACTCACTTTTTAGGTTAACTGAAATTGAACGATGGATATCTACGACCCCCAGACCCTTGGGATAATGGTGTTTGGTGGATTCATGGTGATCTCTGCTGTCGGGATTGCTCTTGTCTCCACCTTCTCCATGAAGGAGACCTCTTATGAGGAGGCCCTGGCTAAACAACGACGAGAGTTGGGTAATATACAGTCTGCTCGCTCTGAGAAAAAGAAGAAGGACAAAGTATCAGAGAAGAAGAGCCGTGGAAAGAAGAAGGAAGAAAAGCCCAATGGAAAGATCCCAGAGCCTGAAAAAATTCCAGAGGAAGCTGAAGCTGATGACACAGTCACTGAGCCTGTTGCTGCCCCAGTTGTGGCTGCTGCTCCTGCCCCAGAGGCTGTTCCTGCTTTTGAGGTGAAACCAACTGCAGCACCAGCAGACACCCAGCTTAGGACTGCTGCTGAACCAAGCCCTGCTCTTGCTGAGCCCTCACCTGCTCCCTCACCTAAAGAGAAAAAGAAGAAAAAGGTGGCTAAGGTCGAGCCAGCCTCTACCCAATCAGCTCCACCCGTGTCTGACCCTGCACCAATCAAGTCCTCTGCAGTCCCTGCATCAACCCAGGCCCCTGTATCTGCATCTGCCCCAGCCAAGACTACCACTGCCTCAGCCAAGCCGGCCCCTGCCCTGGCCTCAGTTAAGCCGGCCCCTGCCCTGGCCTCAGCCAAGCCAGGCCCTACCCCGGCCTCAGCCAAGCCGGCCCCTGCCCCGGCCTCAGCCAAGTCGGCCCCTGCCCCGGCCTCAGCCAAGTCGGCCCCTGCCCCGGCCTCAGCCAAGCCGGCCCCTGCCCCGGCCTCAGCCAAGCCGGCCCCTGCCCCGGCCTCAGCCAAGCCGGCCCCTGCCCCGGCCTCAGCCAAGCCGGCCCCTGCCCCGGCCTCAGCCAAGCCGGCCCCTGCCCCGGCCTCAGCCAAGTCGGCCCCTGCCCCGGCCTCAGCCAAGTCGGCCCCTGCCCCGGCCTCAGCCAAGTCGGCCCCTCCGTTAGCCAAACCTGCTAAGTCCACTGCAGCGCCAGCCAAGTCTTCACCAGCTCCTTCCAAGACTGCCCCAGTGCTGGAGGCCATCACTAAGGACGTTCCAGTGATGGCAGTGCCCCCAGTGGGATCTCAGCAGGCTCCTGCTGTTGCAGGAAAAGCACAGGAGCCTAAGAAGAAGGCCTCCAAGAAAAAGACTGAGCCTGGTAAGCAGTTATGTTTAGATAGATATGAGATATATTCAACATTTGGCAGTTATAACGGTACATTTTATTTTATTTTTCAAATGATACCTCATTTTATTGGTTATTAAACATGACACTGTTTCCATAATGTTAAAATCTATAGTAAGTCTTGGCATGGGAAGATAATAATACATAGAGCTCTTCAGTCTATCAGTGCTTTGACGAGGCTCTGAAGAGTATCCCATAACCTGCAGTTTCAAGTGTGACCACTATGCCAAAATCACGGCTCTACGCTATCTTTAGGGGCTTGTTAACTTTCCCTCTGTCAAATTTCAATATTGTAACACAGATTCATGATGCTTTTTAAACCAATCATTGTTAGCTGACTGGTTGACTGTTGTTACTGGTACATTGGTGGTGTCCAAATCAGTGCTTCTGCAAGTCTCTGAAAACTACACTCACAAACCCTTCTCTGCATTTCAAGGCTGAGGAGGGCTTTTAGGTAAGAACTACATTAGCCATAATACTGGTGAGAGTGCATGAAAGTTTGGAGGGTGGAGTGGGGCATATCTGGACAGATGAGTCGCACGTGCGTACACTCTCGATCTAAGGCAGTAATACCCTGTCAGTACTGATGAACTTCTAGCTGTGGATTTGTGGAAAGTAGTGCCAATGGCAGTTGTGGGTAATGTCTGGCACTCAGCTCTGAAGGGTATAGAGCACGCCAGCTTGTCCAAACACCACTGCCCTGTTTTGTTAGCTGACAAAGGCTCTCAGTGCCCTGACAATGGGTAGGGAGAGGAGTGAGGTTCTCCCTTGCCTGAGGCTTGTCTCCGCCTGGTGCCACAGTGCCCCATCATTTTGCCAGCCAAAGCTGCCCAGGGCCCAGACCCAAAGGATAAGTCGCATCCTTGTCCTATTTCTAAGGCAGTGTGGGAATTCAGACTTTTTTCCCAACGGTGACAGCCTAATGTACTTTAAAACTGTGTGGCTTTTTAGTTTTAAACAAGAAATACATTCTGAAATCCTTCTCTTATGCCACATTGTTATTGTGTGTTTCACTGAAATGTTTTGTGTTTACCTCTTTAGTTTTAGCTGTGGATTCTGCAGATGCTCCGCTCTACCTGCCCTACAAGGCTCTGGTGTCCACCATCAGTAGCATGGTGTTCAGTGAGGGAGAGGCTCATAGGCTCATCGAGATCCTGTCTGAGAAAGCTGGAATCATTCAAGACACCTGGCACATGGTATGTGTCAGTAATGAGGGAAAGACACCTGTTAGACTAGGTGGAGTGTACAAGCACATGATAGTCCACTGAATGCATTTGAGGCTTGTAACAAGACCCACTTTTTTGCTTCAGGCCACTCAAAAAGGAGACCCAGTGGCCATACTGAAGAAACAGCTGGAGGAGAGGGAGAAACAGCTGGCAGCAGAACAAGAGGACGCTTCTGCGGCGAAGAACCGTCTAAGAGAACTCACCAAGGTTAGATGTAAAAGCGTCTCTCTGGTCGATAAAGATGGTGGCGAATTCCTGCCACAATACATTGCCTGGTCTATAGCCATGCTGTCTGCCCTGTGAGACTCAGAAACCAAAATTGTTGGACGGATGAAAATCTTTACAATTCTTTGATCATTTCTACTATTGAGGCAAAATGTCCAGCTTGGCCTGAAGGTGGCAGCAGAGGGGAAAAAGCTTAGTTGTTACCTCCAATTAAAAGGGTTCATTCTCCAGTGAACATGAAGGTGTACTGACATTTGGGCTGTGGTCAAAGTCAAAACCATCTCCTTTCCTAACCACTTTCTCTTGACCTTGATGGAAAACGTCATGAGGTCAAGGAAAGATGTGAAGGAGAATTCCTGAGGACTTACGAAAAGAGGACAGCGGGTCTAAGAGAATCCAAATGCTCTTTTCTAAGCAACGTAATTATGCGACGGTGGATGTTACTGACGTGACCTGCCGTGATGAAACTAAAATGAAGATGGACTACAAAAAGCGCATCTTTGACACTGCACCCCGTGTTGTTTTAATGCAGGCCATCTAAAGGTGGACAACACGGTGGAATTTTAGCCTACTTCATAATCAAGATGGCAAAAGGCCTATAGGGCACCAGTCACCAAATAATGGAAAGGTTGTCGCGTTGAGAATGCTTGTTCACACTCACCCTCCTGCCCACCAATATTTATCAACATGTAACCCAATTATTGGATGTAAACCGTGTTTTTCACAGAATGACAGCGTAACTGTGGCAAGAGAGAGCGACCAAGCAAGAGGAGGTGCTGAGCGAATATGTGCTGCTTGCAGCTCTGTAATCAAACACGACTTTACCCATAGCCTAGTAAAAAAAAAAAATCAATATGTTGCGGTCAGCGATGATAATGTGGCAGGCCGCCACAAATAAATCAATATGTGGGAAACACTGAAATATTACATTCCATTTACTGTACGGGTCATCCAGCTTGATCATTGCCTTTATTAAGGTAATCTGTGACTGAAGTAAAATTAATTAATGATATTACTGAAGGCTGGCAATACATAACGTGAGCCTACACGCTCCAACATTATCCTCACTTTGATCATTTTACAAGACTAGTAACATAGCTCGCATGGGTCTCAGTTATTGTTGACAGTTCAAGACCTATGCATATTAACAAGTTATGGCATAAGAGAGAAAAGGCTTTATAGCTAATGGTAACTTGATTAACATCCTTTATCCGTCATGGTCAGTGATTTCTTTTTTTTTATTGTAGAAAATTCTAATACACTATATAGCTTATTTCAACAATCTGAAACATATAATGGTGTTAAAACAGTATGAGATTACAGCAAAGCCAAAAGAAAACAAACCAAAAGAAAGAAATTGTGAGTGTCTTATTCAAGTATAATTTGCAACTGTATTGCAGGGATTTTTGCTAAATGTGGTCTATGGATTTTATCGTTTGAGTTTGAGAACGTGTGTCACTTTGAATGCTGCTGCCGCTAAGAATTATGGGACAGCATTATCTCCTTTCCTTTCGTAAAGTTAGGAACCTTCCTAAGCAAAAAAGACTTTTCGACCGCAGCAGTTGATTGAAGTCTCGTCATCTTTTGTCCTGAAGGTGGCACTAGAGGAAAGTTAACAAGGCTGAATGTTGCATCCATTAAGAAGCATAAAGAGCTCTCTCACTTTCATGTGTTACAAATCTCAATGTCAGGCTATTGTTGGCTGTACATTAAAGTCAAAGTGGATCCTTTAGAGTAGCTGTATATTTTAAAAGATATCTTGTGTACAAAGTATACACTACACACAAGTTATTACTTCTGATGACCATCGCTATCACCAGCAAATTAATTAAAGGTATGTTAAAAATAATAAATTTAGTACAATAGATGTCTTTTCTAAATTTCATGTCAATCGTTGTGGAGATATTTCACTCTGAAATGACTCTTTTGCCTTAGACACATTACAATGTGTCTGTATCTGCCTTTTGACTGTGACTGTCTGTTTATCAGGAGCTGTCGGCTGAAAAGTCCAAGGTGGCCAGTGTGGAGACCCGGCTGAGTTCCCAGCTGAGTAAGAGGGAGCAAGAAATGATTGCTCTGCAAGCTCGCATGCAGGCCAGTTACCAGGACCATGTAGCCCAGATCCAGGGGCTCAATGCAAAGGTCACTTCTCATCCACAAATATTACAATTTCTGAATGTACAATTCAAATTAGTGCATTTTAATTTGCATGTTCTTTCCATGACCTCCAGGGTAGCTGGCTGCTAGTGAGAAGTGAAAATGCAGATTTTCCGTTTCTTGAAAATGTAGTTGTGAGACAGAACGCAGCTGTACAAAGCGTAATAGAGTCCAACATGGCTGCTTTTATTAAAAAAAATGTAATTTTACAGATCCTCAGCCTGCAGGACCAGCTGGAAAAAGGCCCCAGTGCCCAGCTGGCCTGTCTGCAGCAGGAGAACTCCATTCTCCGTGATGCCCTCAACCAAGCCACTAGTCAGGCTGAGAGCAAGTGAGTGTTCCCCTGTAACAGCAAATAAGAAACGGTGATCCATAATGACATACATTAAGCCTCTTTATAATGCTACTAATTAAAGTGGCAATTAAGTACAGTGTGTATAAATTCAAAGGCACGTTGGGAGCGCCAGACCTGAAGGTAGCATGTGTCCTGACTCTTTTTTCCCTGTCTTTCTTTCATTCTGTCCTCAGACAAAATGCGGAGTTGGCCAAAGTGCGTCAGGAATGCGCAAAGTTAACCAAGGAGCTTGGAGAGAAGACTGAAAGTCTGCTTGCTGATGAACACATCAGGAAAGGGCTGGAGGCCAAGATCTCCGCTACTGAGAAGCAGCTCTCCCTGCTGCAGGTTGGCCCGGCCTGTGGGAACACCACATCATCTCATTTATAAATTATACTGGATTTCAAGTTTCCACATGGAAATGTGTTTTTGTTTTTTTTAATGCTGTTTCTTGTTTGAGAAGCCCGTTAGTTAAAGAGTCTTTACAACATGCAAGCTTAGACGTTTCCCATCATCCCCCAACTTTTTGATGTTATGGGAAGTTTAATAGTTTGCTAATTTGACTCGAGTTTGCTGCCTTTGTGATATTTGTATGCTGCTTTGACCAAGTCTGCAAGTCTGACCATAGAGGCACAGGTAGGCTAATCATCTCAAAAACCCTTCAAGTTAAAAGCACTTCCAACAAGACGCTGCCTTTAAAAAATCCAAACATAATGCTTGACATGCTGTTAAAATGTCCATTTTTATATTCCTGTTACACAACCTCATGCCAAACAACACTTTGATTGGTGGATTATATTCTATTATGCAGTTTTATGTGGAAATATGATATTTTAGTAATACATAAAAGAAATGGGACACAGTCCACAAGGACAGACATTGCTTTGAGAGGAAAAGCTGTCAAATGTAATAATTTTGTGAATCGTTGCTGCCCCCTGCTGTTTGACACTTGTCTGACATCAATTTTGTTGTCAGGCCAGCCATGGGGAGAGCGAGCAGGCTTTACAGAGGAGATTGGAGGAGGTGTGCGAGGAGCTAAGAACAGCACAGAGTAGAAACAGCAGCCTTCAGGCCACTTTGGACAATGCCCAGAAGGACAGCAGCGCACTCTCAGGTCAGAGAATGGGGGAACAATGTTTTAATGGTTACCAGATGTTAAGGCATAGAACTTACTTTGGTGTCTTGATTAGTAAAAAAATAAATGTGGGACCAGTGGCTGTATCAAATATAAAATATGGAATAAGTAGTAAGTGCTTGTATTTTGAAAGTGGCCTTTCTCCCAACAGAGTTTCAGGTGCGTATTGGGAGTTTGGAGGCGGAAATCAGCGAGCGCTGTACTCAGGTGGATGCCCTCACCGCCCAGCTGGAGGAGACACGGGCAGAGAAAAGCCAGCTTGTACAGCAAGTGGCCTCCATTAACTTACTGCTTGAGGCCAATCAGACCAAAAAGGAGGAGGATAACAATCAGGTATGACATACATTGTCAATTTGACTTTTCTGAAACGGCCAGACGCTTGACCCCCCATTGTCACCATTGATGATGTTTGTCATGTCTGAATCTGCAGGTGAACGCTGCAGAAGTGGAACAGCTAAAGCTCAGGTAAGTGTTTGAGCCTCCTTTCTTCAGAGTCAACACGAGATCCAGAGCTGTTGTATTTATTGATTGAAATGCCCACCCTGCAGCCTTCAGGAGAGAGACAACCAGTTGAACACACTTCACGATGAACTGAAGAAACTGCAGATGAAGCTCGAAGCTGCTGTAAGTGTTCCAACATCTGTTGTTAGATCTATTACAAAGAAAGCTACACTTCTTGACTAATTGGCGGATATAAATTTATTCATGCAAAGATGTGGAAAGCGGCTCTGCTAATCACAAATAATCTGCCGTTCTGACAGGAGAACACTGTTGTTGAGCTAGAGCAAAGAAATAAGAGGTATTCTGCTTTTTACCATCAATCTATTTGACTCAAATGTTACAGATTTTCCACACCTGTCTGTTCTCTGCTGATTTATTCTTTTATCCAAATTGTTTTTTGTTTTTCTAAGTGAGGATGCCAGTCATATCACGTCACTTCAGGATGAACTTAAAAAACTCAAAGAAGAACTGGTGCAACTTAACAGCACACCGGTAAGTGTACTTCTCGATGTGTTGCACATTTCTGATTCTACAGCTGCCCTGCAAATAATCTCAGTGACTCATTTGCATGTCCACTGTTTCAGCAGACAGACAGCTCTGCGGAGCTCGGACTACTACAGAACAGGTAAATGAGTCTTGGCATATGAAAAAAAGGTAACTCTCACATATTGTTAGGCCTGTTATAGATCTCAGCTTTGTCTATTTTGGTTCTTTGGATAGCCTGACAGAGAAGGATGCCCTTGTCACATCACTACAAGAAGAGCTGAAAGAAGTGAGAGAAAAGACGGCCAATGATGCAGTAAGAATAACTTTCCACACTGGTGGCTTGTCATTTAGACTACTTTGCTGTTAATCACCTTCCTGATTATGTCATCCATTGTTTTAGCAGAACATTATGGCAGAACTGACAGCTTTTCAAACTGGCACCAAAGAAACGCTACAGACACTCTTCCCACAGATACCCATAGAGACCGAGCAGGTAGGGGAGGAGATGCTGAATGATCTTTTATTCAATTGTATCTGTTATTATTATTATTATGTAAAATGATGTGCACAGTATTTATTTTTTATGTCTGCTTTTCTCCTCATTTAGTCCAACTGGTTACAAGTATTTACACAGAAAGCTCAGGAGGCTCTCAGCCAGCAAAGCCAGGAGTCTCAGTCAAGCACAGCATTGTCTGTAAGCCACAGTTTTATAATGTTACCAAATACTGGTTTGAATTGGCCCCACAGAAGGAGTTCTGAATGCGTTTTCTGTGTTTCAGGAGTTGCTCGAGAAACTGAAGGAGGCCGAGGAGAGCCATGGCTCACTGCAGGCTGAATGTGAACAGTACAGAACAGTCCTGGCAGAAACGGTAAGACTGAAACAAATAAATAAATATGTGTTGATGCATTTTTTTTTATTTTTTATGTGAGTTGTGTGAATGTGGAGTCAATTTATAAAGCTCGTTAAATCCTGTTTCCTTACCCCTTTAGGAAGGAATGCTGAAACATCTGCAGAAAAGTGTGGAGGAAGAAGAGCTGGTATGGAATTCCAAGATGGCTAACTCAGAGGAACAGCTTAGGGAGGTAAGTTATAATACCTTCTTGAAATCACTGTGACATGGACATGTTTTTACCATGTGTTATTTTTAAAACCTCACAATATTTCCCTCTCTCACATTACCAGGCTTTGGAGAAGGCCAACAAGCTGGAGGCAGAAAACCAAAGTGTAGAACAGGTGGGGATTTTTCCACAATCAAGTTTGAGTTGTCTCGTGTGGAATATAGCAGGTTAGAAATGTATGCTGCTTTGTAAAACTGTTACTTTTGGTTTCCCCTGCAGTTGAAGGAGCAGATGATGCTTCTGGAAGCCCAACTGGAGAAGCAGTCAGATAACCAGGGGATCTCAGAGGAGATGGAGAAGGTACATGAGCAGGTTAAATCTACAGATGATGGCAACCTCATTGGAACTTGTACTGCTAAAATATATTTTTTTGTTGTATTTTTGTGTTTTAAATGCATACTCTGCAGGATTTTCCTAAAAACAATATATAGACTCGTAAAGAAAAAAAATCCCTCTCAATCATCACTTTTAGACCACTAGAAGTATGTGGCGGCACCTGTGTTTTCTTATTTTGCTGTGTTTGGGACTTTTCTGGACGACAACCCAATAACAGCATGCAGGGTGTGAGCTCGGGAATTTATAAAAATGTAGCAACCAGGTTGCATCACTCTCCATCTCGCTCCTCTGCTCTCTTTCTGCATCATCGATGTGTAAAGAGTCTGCTTGAGCGTGTTCATTCCTCTCGCTAATGCCTCTTCTCCTCTTCATTCACTCTGTAGCTTGCTCAACCACCGCTGCTGGCTCTCTCGTCCGTTGAGCCATGGAGGAGGGGCCAATTTTGAATGTTGTGTTTTACAATCAACAGCTGTAAAATCCTGCACAGTATGCCTTTAAGTTCCACTGTTAAGGAGGCGTGAACTTGAGTGCCCAATCTTTTCTGATTGTAATACTTATTCTCTTGTCTACTTAGTTGGGGTAGGTTTTGAGTTAAATATCCGGACAACATTTTAGGGCACATTTCTGTTTTATTGATTGGTGTAATTGAAATACGTTTTTTGTTTAATTAATAAAACATTATAGAAATAGTTGTCAATGTAAAGAATTATCACTCCATACTTTAATTTAATGCTGGAAACACCATTTCACATATTTAAAGGTATCACCCTCTTGTGGTGCATTTGAAGCCATAACTGTCTGACATCTGTTAATTTCTACTCTGTGCTCTGTATTCAGCTGAAGCTGCAGCTGTCAGAGTGTCAGAGCCAGCTGGATGTGGCCCAGAAGGAGGCCCAGGCATACAAGGAGGAGCTTGCACAGGTGACTTTACTGACTGAACTTCCTCCAGGCACCAATATTTACATATTCATACAACCGTGTAACTGAGGGGGCATAAGGACATGCTTTTTATGAGATGTCACATGTCAAGGAATTTGTGAAAATTACTCCCACATGACAGACAAGGTGAGGTGTCAGTGACGTGTAACAGGAGGACATTCATGAAGGGGCGGTTATGTAACCAGCGACGGCTTCCTGTTTCAGGTCAGAGAGCAGCTGGGCGAGATCACGATGGGGGTTCAGCGAGAACAGAATGGCCCAGCTGAGGCTCAACCCAGTCAGGTCAGGGTGCAAAGGTCACCCTTTACTTCCTGTCAGAGAGTACTGGACACTGACTAGGACACTTTTCCTAAGATCTCGTTTGCTACAATTACTTTTTATTTTATTAATTCTCAAATTAGCCTTGTTCAATTTAATAGAAAATCACATTCATAAATTTGTGATTAATGTTTTTACTCCAAATTTATTAATTGTTTGTGATCGGGCTCAACACATCAAACCCATGACCTAAATAAGGACTGGGTAACACATGAATGATAAAGAAGTGCTGTATTTCCAGTCTGTCCAGTACTACTCCGACACAGCGGCTGTTTATGCTAACCACTGTTTGCACTGACTGAGTGTACATAACTCTAACCACTGCTTTTTCTTACCTTTTTTTTTGGCATGTTCACTTCTCCTGTTTTGTTTCCAGATACTATTTGTACAATTCAGAAAGTTTTGTTTAAATGTAGCTTTTCCCCTGAAATTATCTGAGAGACAACTAACCTGGCGCACAGGTCGAGCAGCTTTTGTGTGTGTGTGTGTGGTGCTGCTGCTTTGGCACAAGAATGTTTGGATACACATGTATTTGTCTGTGTGTATTTATTGTGTGTGTGTGTGTGTGTGTGTGTGTGTCATTTTTGTATGCCATCAGGTCCAGAACGAGTTGAGTCACACAACTGAGAAGCTGCACGAGGAGGTGGCTCAGAGACAGCAGCTCTTGGAAGAGTGCGAGCAGGTAGCAGCCATCATGGACTTCTCAGTCTTGTCACACCAGAGGGTGACTAATAAAGTCTCATGGATAACGTGTGTGTGTGTGTGTGTGTTGTCAACCTCCCAGGCACAGAAGACTATTTCAGAACTTCAGTCTCAGCTGGATCTTCTGAAGGTTTCTGCAGAGTCACCACAAAATGAAGATGATGTTGCTCAGCTCAAGGTGCGGTTCAAATAATACTCATAGTGATTACCACTTCTATATTTTGTCTGACCTGGATTATTATTATAGATTTCATAGCGTGCAAATTATCTCAGATGGCCCTGCTCCTTATAGGAATAAAACAGACTTATCAGCTTCATACTCCAACATTGTGATTTATTATATATATATATTTTTGAAGACATGCTACCTTGAAAGATGGAGGGCTTTTACTCCCTCCATGAGTAGGACTTTCTCTTGAGTGCTCATCCTCTAAACTCTAAATAATGAATAAATTTAGACAAAACATATTACAATGGGTTAAGCAATAATTCAAAGGAGTTTTAAATCTCAGCTCACTATTAGTCTTTTGTTGTTTGGTTTTTTTACAGTAGCAGAGGTTATTGCAGGTTGATTTGATTTAATTGAAGCACTTTTTTAATTTCAGAAGGTCCTCTTTCAACCTCACACAAATTGTCCAGTGACAGTTCTCTTTCATAATGTCACCTGGCTGTGTCTGAATGGGTGAACAGTCATTTACATAACTGTGTCTGGGCTGTTTGTCTTGATTGATGATAAAGACTTTGATTATAAGAGGTATAATGACAATAAAATAATTTGGGATGAAATGTTGGGGAAAATAATAATGACCTGCAATAAACTCTTATTGTGAAAAGAAGCATTAAGAACATTTAATAATGTAGTTTCACATATTTACTTAACAGTGAACACTTTGGGTCTCCATATTGAGTCTCATTTTTGCTCGGTGCTTTGACACATAATGTTTGCTCCCGCTGCTGGAATAGGAGCGCCTGGAGAAGGAGAAGAAGTTGTCCAAAGACCTGGGGCATGCAGCCACCAAGCTCCAGCAGCTTCTTAAAGCCACTCAGGAGCAGCTGACCAAAGAGAGAGACACAGTGAGAGCACTACAGGAGCACCTGGAAGGCAAGGTGAGGCAGCTGACATGGTAGGGCCACACACACACATTTCCAAGCTCCTATATTGTCTAATGTTTTTCTTAACTCTGTTTTCAAGGGAGAATACGTGGAGCTGAAGGAAGGAACATCCGTCTGATAGGGAGTTCACTGCAGACACTACAAAAAACTGCCAAATATGCCTTATGATTACCATAGTTATGCATTCCAAATCTATTTCTTTCTTGTACTGTAGTTGATTGAATTTGTTGCAACTACAATCTTTATTGAAACCCATATTCCATAAACAATTCTGGCTATGTCAGAAGTTATTTATCCCCCTGCCTTATATTCCAAACATCTCCCCATAGTTCAGTGTTAAAAAGGGAAACCGATTGTACGTCAGATGTACATCAACCTGTGCAATTACTTTGTATGTCTTTTCTATGTGGTTGAATGATGGGAACATTTTATGGTTCAGTACCTTTTGGGGCCTGCTTCCCTCTGTAGATGGCTGCCAATAACACACATCGAATTTGTATGAATGAATAAACTACGGTGTAGCTCTATGTAATTACTGTTCAGTGTCTGTGTCGCAGTTTCTGTAGAAGTTGCAAAGACTGCAGGCAGGAAGTGAAGTCAATGATTGCTGTTGTGAGTAAGTTATAATTCACATAGTTTCAGATCCGGTGTGAATCAAACAGCAAACATATGCACTGCACGCTCATGTTAACACAGGCTGGTTCAGGATGGCTTTTAAAACTTTAAACTATCCTGCCTGGGTAAAAAGCTGTTTCAACTCTGCTGTGAAAAGAACAGTCTTGGACAGGAAGTATTACTACACAGCAACATCCACACAGTCATCATACTACAAAATGCAGGGTTATAAATTATCCCCATAGCACACACTACAGTAGCTCCAATTTGTTATGCTTTAGAAATACATGGCTAGTGTTTTATAAAGCATGTTAAGTGTGGCATTTGCTTAAAGCTTTAACCACAATCCGTTTTTAAGGTTGCATCAATGTGTTAGACACCAGGAAGTATGTTACAAGAGGTGGAGCTCGTTTGCAGGCTTTTTCAACAGCCATGTATGGTTTTGTTTCAGGCATGATCTGTGTGTTTTCCTCCGCCTCCCCCCAAACACACCCACAGCAATGTCTGTCTGGAAAAAAAAAAAAACACACCACAACAGAAATGGAAACTTAACTTTATTTATTATGTTATTAAGTGTAGTAATGTACCAAAATTAAACTAAACTCTCAGGTAGCGGCCACACCCAGAGTTCATGAAGACAGTTGAAATGTCACTGTCCAGGTTAGATTCAAACGGTAACGTGTCAGAGGCGGGTGCAGTGAACCTGAATGGCGGGAATGATCTTCTTCGGGGTGACAAGAAGGCCCTGCCCCAATGTGAGTGGTGTTCCGCATTTGGCTTAAAAACTGCCACGTTTGAGACTGCTCATTTGAGGTAGAAAGGTTGGTGTGGCTACACAATTGTGTTTTATGAATTTGGTTGACAACACTGCAGCACATGATATTTACTAAATATTTAACTAAAATGCCAGTAGGACATTTTGTTTCAGCAGTTCAAGTGCAATAGGAACAAATGAACATTCGGTCCACATGGACTGTCGAACAAAATGATTATATTTGGTAGAAAAATAAAAATGGCTCAATAGTTAGACCATGCATTTATTTCTTAGCCTAACATTTGTGTTGACTTTTGAACAAAAATGTTCAGTATTTGTTGAAATGTGCTCATTAACTTTCTTGCTAAGAGATGAAAAGATCATCACTTTCATGTCTTGATGGTAAAGTCACCTACCAGTACCCCTAAAGCTCACTAACATCTTTTTACTAAAAAAAAAAAAAAAAAGTACAAATAATGGTTTCACAAGGTTAATACGGGACTATTTCATGACAAGGACCAGTAACTTTGTCTGCTGGTTGCCTGGCCACTGGATTTTGCTACGTTTGGACAGAGGCAGGCTAGCTGATTTCCCTCGTTTCCATTATCAATGCTAAACAAAGCTAACTGACTGCTAGCTTTAGCAAACAAACATGAGTGTGGTATCAAAATTCTGACCTGACTCTCGCCAAGAAAGCAAATAAGGATATTTCCCCAAAGTCAAACCATTAACGGTAAAGCTGGTTGTGTTGCCACCGTAGAATAAAGGCATGAGTATAAAATCTGTTTGAAGAGGTGACTGCAGACAACGGCTTGTCTTGCATTTTTATATATTAAGCATGTATCATTGAGTCTAAACATTGATACCAAATTCACCTTGTGGTCCTTATGCCTGCAGTGATGGAATATGAGTGTAAAATTGGGGAAATTATGTAACTGTAAATTTAATACTACAGCTACCAGCTATTTTTAAACTGTTTTATAGACTCAAGAATTATTTATATTTCCAATGTACATGTTTATTATGGACAGAATCACTAGTACTTTGTTTAACTCAAGCAACATTTGAAAACTTGAGTTAAGCCCAAAGTCATCTGGCTAACCCAGTAAACCTGGCCAGGTCTGACAGACTTGCTGAAGGGAATGAGATTTCCTCATGGTATGCATGGATGTGTCCAGGCACCAATCCTCAGCTACCCATTAATTATAACTTTCATCCATACTTGATTTTTGAAGTGGTCCATCTTCACCAACAACAAATATGGGTTCTAAACGTAGATGACTGGTTTGCAAAAATAAAGTGAAAATCTCATGGCACTGATAGACCAGAGTACCAGGAACATTGTTGATCATGAAGTTAGTGGTTCCATAAATAATTATCTCAACACCATCGATTAGTTGGCTAAAGTTGATAATCTCACCTAACTAGAACAAACCAGAACTTTTACAATTGCTCTTAGCAAGGTGGAAAAAGAAAGACAGCACCGACGTGAACAATTTGCATTGAATTTATTTGACAATACTCAAGACAGTGCAACAACTGCTGCAATTTCAGTGTAACCTTGTTTTTTTTCTTTGTAAATGTATTCTTATTAAGTCTCCAAACTGTAACAGTCTAGGAAAAGAGATTTTAGTCATAACTTACAGGCCCTGTCATGTTGGCCTTGTAAACTCTAGGGTGTCCACTGGGATATTTTACAGGATAGTTGTATAAAGTGGACTTTATCCAATCCATAAAAGACAAATGGTGTGCACTGTAGTATGCAGGGATTCAAGCTATGCATGTACTAACACAGCAAATTACTGATTTGAGAAATAGAAAATGTACTAAGAGTTAAGTGACAGCCATACATTAATTATACTATTGTCCATGTCAAAATGAAAAAGATTACATCAGAACAAGACTGATTTCACAGTCAAACTGGTGTGACTCAGTTTAGTAGGGCACAATTATCAGGAGGTTTGTGTTACAAGAATCTAATCCCATCCAGAGCCCAACCCTTCCCTTTAAGCTTTGTTGAACCTATCCAAATAATCAGTCAATTTGGTAACTTTGCCATTATCCTCTCAAATGCCTTCAAATTGACCTTGTAATGAAGCAGGGATTTGAAACAGTGGTTTGTTTAATGCCCAGCACTCTACTTAATATCGTGGCCCTCAATTTTGATTACATTTTTTCCCAGTCTCTCTCCAAAAGCAGCCCTGTCGCCGCAGTCCGTTTTGTCATTCAGCTGCACCTCGTGTTTGATACCTGTAGAAGACATAAAAATTACTTAAAAAGTGAAGAGGGAACACCATTCAACTCAACTCTTGTTTTAAATGTCTGGGAGTATTTAATGTGATGAATTTTTTTTTTTTTTTTTAAAAACCTTTACCTGTCAGGATCTTCCTAAGGGCTTCTTTTGAGCTAGCATAGTTCATTTTTAGTTTGATGGGTGCTGTGTCAGGAGCCCTAAGAAGAGAAATCATTATTCCAGTGGCCCACACAGACTGTTTATGTAACGTGTACATTCATGCACACAAGAATATGCATCCTCAGAATAGGATTGGCTCTTGAACATCAGAATTTTATCATTACATTGCTAGTCTCTCTACAGCATGCAGATACATTTAAGAATAGATGAATTGCAATACAAGGACCTACCACAGGAAAAAGACCAGTTCTTCTTTTTTTTGATTCCTTGGTTTCAAAGTGGCAGTCATACAGTATGTAGCGGCACTCATCTGCTTTGAGCTGACTCAGGACGAACTTGTAGACATCATCCTCTTTCTCCAGATCTTTCTCACGGAAAATTTTCTCCACGTCAATGCAAGAGCCATCGATGTGGAATATCACCAATCTCATACGTTCCATCTGATTATCCTCAGTTTTCACTAGTTTCATGGCATTGTAGATTTCCTTCACTTGGTCAGCAACTTTTACTCCAGAGGCCTGTTTGAGAAAAAACACCAACACATTAGTATTTAGTACAAAAAAACAAGACAATGAAACCCATCACCTACAGCTCATAATTGACAGCGACATTTCATTAGATGTACTTCTTTGAAAGGTATTAACCCCCAAAATAAATTGCTAAATGTAAGTTAAATGTTATTGCAACTGTACAATTTTGTATTTTTGAATGATGAAACATGTCTTGATTTCATTCAAACAAAACAAAAAAAAGTGATAAAGCAGCTCTTTTGAGGACTTCTCCCTAACATTTGAATCAATGGTTTTAGTATGTTCTGCACAAAGTAAAGTTTTCCAGTTGAGTGTACAAATTCTTGTCAAATGAAAGCATGACTAGAGACAGTATCACGGTAAGAGCAGCTTGGTGAGATTTGGGCCTTAGCTCATATTTGAGCAGACAGTGTTCACACACAAAGCAGAACTAAAAAGGATGAAGAAACAGGAAGTTCTTCAAAACTAGACTTTGGAGAGACATGTTAACGCTATTCAGGCAATTCAGTGTGCAAATATCCTTCTAGCTTTTCAGCAGTAACATGCCGTGGGTGTAGCTTCAGTATGAATCCAAGGCTTTGGCTCTGTCACATTCCAGTCATTGTGGAACAAGTTAGCACAAGAAAGACCGCCCCAAGGGATTCTCTCAGAACAAGTTTGAAGCACGAACAAAGCTCCCTCCATTTTGGAGGCAAAACCACACCTTGAACAAACCCTTTTAGACACCAAACTCTGCAAACTATTTTTTCAAGGAAACTTCAAATGAAAATCTTACACTCTAGATATACTGACAACCAGGCTTCACTGAGGTTACACATTCTGTTACATATAGTGTTAAAATGAGGATATGGCATTCAAAGTTTCATCAGCTCTGGTTTACATATCCTGGGGGGCACGCAAACCACAGAGAAGTTTTTAACAGACACAGCACAAGTTAATCCAGTCAAATTGTTTGTGAAAGCTACTCACCATTTTGCTTCTGATGTGTGAAGGAAACAGGCAGCAGAGAAAAAATGGCAGCAGCAGTCAAAATGCTGAAGGGTCATAAGGAAGGAGAGCAGGTTGACTCATAGAGGAGGAGCCGGGGTAAATGAGCACACCTCCAAAAATAGTCCCACCCCCCTCTTCCCAGGTGTGACAGTTTCAGCTGCAACCTCCCAATTTGCATTTAATCACATTACATTTGAATCCTAAATCACAATGGATATATGTGCTTCAAAGTTTGACACAATATAAATATTTTTGTCACCCATCCCTTGTCTTCTTAAGTTTGGTAGAGGTAGAGATCTTAATTTTTAAGAAAAACCCCAGGTGTGTCTGAGCCAGTTAAGGGTGGGAGCGGCACACATAACACCCTTATATGGAGAACAAACCTGTCCACATATTTAACTCATCTACTGCTGAGACACAGTTCAGTGGCCTTATAAGGTAAAAGGTAGGATGAGTGTACAGATATGTTGAAAGGATTTATCTATCTACCCACAGAAAGTGAGGTGTTACACCTTCATTAGATTCCTATAGTTATAGTCAATAGATGTACAAAAACATGATTGGTTTAAATCCAATCCAGTTCTATACTTAACACAGCAAACATTACACATATTTACCAACTAAAATGATCCCTCTGTATGATATAAACTTCATGACATGAAAGTCACGTTCTGTGGAGACTGATGAGTCAGTGCAGTTTCTATGACTCACAAAAAGTGACTCTGGTGCACTCAAAATTACAGCACAGACTTGGTGCCGGAGGCCTGAAGTCATATACATATATATATAAAAGGAGTATAATTAAACATACATGACATGTTGGTGCAAGGGTATTTGAGAACAGCTGGATTCAAAGAGTAAATACAAGGGTTTGATCCAAGTCAGATGTTCAAAAAAAAAAAAAACAAGAAAGAAAAAGCATTTTAAAGGTTCCGCTCATAAACCTACATGGCTCTCTGTAAAGTCCAGAGGTGTAGCTAGGTATTAGGGGCCCAGTTCACGGGAGGGGAACCATGGTCCCCTACCACTTTACTCTTGTCCCACACCATGCCCTTCCCAGTGGTGGAAAGTACATTTACTCAAGTACTGTCTACAGTGGTTTGGTTTACTTCACTGACTACTATTTTTTGCTGCTTCATACATACAATATTGTGAGATTTTACAATATTTAGGGATCCCAAACACAGTGTGTAATGTAATGCAGCCGTCTGCTGTAACATCATGCCAATACAACTACCGATGACAAAAATAAGAAATTTCCTGTGTAAACTACTTAGCTGCCTTATTGGCATGCATCTTTGTTTACATGATAGACATAGTTTAGGTCTTTCATTCAAAACTCTCCTTATGAGAGAGAATTTAGTTCAGTATAAACTCTTTCTCCACAATGACTATTTTTAAATACAGATACTCTGTTTCAGCATCTCGGTGGCTTTGCTTCCTTTGTGTGGATTAGTGGTCAGAGTCCCACCCCACATCCGGGACTAGCTTCTGTTCCAAAAAGCAGGGTGCCTAAATGTCAGCATGTCATATTTTGCCTGCTAACACATACTTTGCAAGCACTGGAATCTGAGTGAGAAAAACAGATATATAATTTTTCTATGTTAAATAGTTGACAGTATGATGGAGTCAGCTGCAGAAAGCTCTCTTTTATGGTGGCTTGAGGGTTGCTTTTTTAGGTTTATCATCAGCTTTGGTAAGGCCTGCCTACCAGAGCTAATGGCTGCCAGCAGCAACTTTTCACACTAGTAAAAAGGGGAAATACAACCCTGAACCACACAGCAGGAAATGGCTGCTGCATAACTCTGTCAGTTGAAAACTTCATGCTGCTGCAAGCACATTGCAAGTTTGGCTACAACCCAGTCAGTGATGTCAAAGCAGCAAACTCAAATCTATGAGAACCCTGACATCTACTGGTACATTACAGGTAGGGAATTGGCCATCTGTGTTTGGGTTATGTTACATCTGTTATGCTAAATCAATTAGAATAGTTTATGAATAATGTCCTACATGTTGCATTTTTAAATTATATATACAAATATTGATACGAAATATCTTATAAAAGGCTTCCTTTGCATAATATATAGAAACTCATCTGGATGCACTGATGGATAGTCTAGATAATTTCTAACGGTGCATGGAGCTGTGATGCAGCCAAGATCACTTTGGTGGCTGATTCTGCTGAGTTTAAGGGTTGTATTTTTTGTCCTTATTTTAAATTTAGGAATTACTGAGGCTTCACTTAAGAATTAGACTTGTTATTGTTGTATGAAGTTGTGGTTATGTAGCCAACTGTTTCTTGGCCAAGGGCAGTGGTCATTTCATTTTTGGTCTAATTTTTACACCTTGGTTTTTGTACAGATTTAACAAATGAGATATAATGTGTTAATTACTGAGCTTTAGAGGTGCTGCTGTGCTGGTAGGTGGATTGTGATACCGGTTTGGACAGAACCCCTGAAACCTACTGGTCTCTTGAAAATGAATAAATCACATTGGCTGTGAGTGTAAGGTGCACATAAATGCAGGTAGTGAACTTATCTGAAAGAGGAGAAAGAAATAATGTCCTTTTTTGTTAAAATATGAATATCAATATTAAGCATATACAAAAGAATATATACACTACATTTTTTTTAAATGAAGGAAACACTTAAATGATACATCAGATCTTGATGAACAAAATTGTTCAAAGTTCAAAATCTTTACTGTACATTGCATAATTCATTGAGAACACAATGACGTAACAAAAGTCAATGGAAACCAAAATCACAAATTGGGGTGTGGATTCAAAATCACACTGAAAATCACATTTTTATCTCAGGCTGATCCAACTTGCGTGACTTTCATCACGGCAACTCATAATATAACTCAGTAGGGTGCATGCATGGCCCCTACGTGTGTCATCCAGGAACTGCCTATGCACTCTGGCCACAGGAGGCCAGGCATTGTCCTGCACCAGAAAGAGCCCAGGGCCCACTACACCAGCGAAAGTTCTGATAATGTCTGAGGATTTTATCCTGGTACCTCACAGCAGTCAGGGTGCCATTGGCAAGCATGTAGAGGTCTTTGCGACCCTCCAAGGATATGCCTCCCCAGACCATCACTGACCCACCGCCAAACCGGTCATGCTGGATGATGTTGCAGGCAGCATAATGTTCACCACGGCGTCACCAGACTCTTTCAGGTCTGTCACATGTGCTCAGTGTGAACATGTTCTCATCTGTGAAGAGAACAGGGTGCCAATGGTGGACAGTTTGGTCAGAAACATGCGCACCAGTAGCCCGCTGGAGGTAATTTTGTAGGGCTCTGGCAGTGCTTCTCCTGTTCCTCTTTGTACAAAGGAGCAGATACCAGTGCTGCTACTGCTGGATTGATGCCCTTCTATGACCTTGTCCAGCTCTCCTCATGTAGCAGCTGTCTCCTGGTATCTCCTCCAAGCTCTAGAGACTGTGCTGGGAGGCACAACAAACCTTCTTGCAGTGCCATCCTGGAGGAGCTGGAATACCTGGGCAAACCTGAATACCATGTTTATCAATTCAATTTGATAGTATGAAATTGTACTTACTTGTAAAAGGAACCTACTGGGAATCAGCCAGATTCACAGAGAACACTCCCACATAAAAGGGCTCAAAGGTAGAGAGGATAAATAGGTATTCTCCATGGGGAAGACAGAAGTGGTAGAACACCTCTCGCAGACTGACGAAGGTCTCGGAGCACACTGCTGAACAGTTTTTCTTCTGGTGCACTCGCATTTTGCCAGAGTATTGGAAACTTACACACATGCAGTACGGTCACATGAGGGCGCCCTATACCTTCCCTCTGACCTCCCATTTTTAAAATATTGTGTATATGGGTTAATGTCCACTATTTTATTATAAATGCAATTCAGGAATTCTTCACATCTCTCTGGAGTGGATTCAGCTGGCTGGCTAAGTGGGGGACCAATCTGGGATGGAGAGGAACATGGTGAGGTCAACACTACCAGATGCCACGAGGATACCAACATCAATATATGAGAGTGAAACAAGAACATCAAACAAACATCAATGGAGCTTCCCAGACGATTTTGAAGAGCGGATCTGCCTTGTCTCCAGTGAAGTCCTCGAAACCCTTGAGCTTTGCAGAATCCATTTACCCTAAAGAAAAAAGGAGTTCATGACTACACCAGAAAAAGACATACTGACACAAACAGAAAGGAGTCCAGATGTTAACTTATTCCACACTTGGCTTGGTGTGCTCTAAGACCATGAGCCCTCTGCGTAGTGAACATACAGCAGCTTTTAATCTCTGATAGCAGCCATCAACCACCACATACACCCACTACCTAAACTGCCAGAATCAAGAGCCACGTACACAAAAGACACAATTCAAATCAAGTCTGTGTGTGCCGCTCTAAAAGAATGAGGATGTGGTGTGTGCTAATGTACTGTAAAAGATGCCAGTGTGGGTCTCCTCAAAGATTTAGTCATGAGAGATGACAACACGAGACAAAACCTATTTGTTGAGAGTCAAGAATGCGAGAGCTCCCAGGAGCCAGCAGTCACCTTAGCACAAGTTATTATAGTTAAAATAAAGGGAACTCCTGTATAACACCCAGAAGATTTCAAGTTCTCACGTGTTCGTTTAATTTTGGCATTATGACACATGTCCAAAACAAAGTAGTTATGCAGTTTGTTTGCACACACACACCTCAGTTGTGCAAAGCAATGGGTATTATCTCGTCTTTATTTGATCATCAGCAACAAACAACTCATTCTCACCCACATATGTGTGAATATAATGAGTTTTATTTCAGTGGTATGGGGTTACAAAAATACTAGCAAAAACACTTTCCAGAGGTGAAACTACTGTAAGTAAGATGATAGTGAAACACCGAGTGACAATGTCAGAGGATTCAACGTGGCCGTCGTTCAACTGTGACGGTTAGCAGATGTGAGAAGATAAGCATGCAAAGGCATTCATTCAAATTGAGGATGCATTGATGCTTTGTAAAAGAATGTTAATATCTAAATGTGCCATCATAATTCATTTGAATGGAATATGATAGGAAAATAAAAGCTATTTCTGTTTCATAAGAACTTGCAAGAATTAAGAATGCTCCAGGAGTTGGGTGACCATTCGGATATGTCTTCTTTTTGGGAGCTAAAAAATGCGTTCAGCTGGGATTTCTAATTGAATATTATTACACATTGCCACAATGCCACGCATTACTTTAGCCCCCCCCCAGTACCAACCTTCCACCCACAGAAAACAACAGACTAAGTAATTGTGTAAAGCAAAATGTTGACAAGTCAACCTCAACAATTTGGTATGTGGATAAGCAGGAACAAGCTTACTCATAGCAGCAATTATCTATTAATTACAAAGTATGAATCATGGTGTTACAAAAATGGTTTACAGTTTTTCTCGATTGCTTAAACACTATAACCAGGCTTTTGAACTACAATTTAATAACCGTAATGCCATTTATCAAAAAGCACACCCATTTCCCCAAACTATAAATGCTATTCCCCTGTGTGGACACATGATTCAGATTTGTTAAACTGTCACTGCCAGGGACGTGCACAGACATTTTGGTGGGCAGGGGCTCAACTGAAAAAAAGGGCACTTCTCATAATTATTTGTTCATTTTCTTTAAACAAAACATTTAATATAACACAACTCTGACTTCCTTCCAATTTATTTTAATTCCCTCACTCTCATGCAGTTGTTTATTGCTCAACATTATAATTCATAATTCATTAATTATAACATTTTAATTATTTTGGTGTTATTGGAATACATAACACTATAAAATCAACAAAAAATATTCACACTAAACTGTGGCATTGGGTTGCACACATTTAAGTAAATGTTATTTAAATACTTTTACTTTTTGTTTCACAAGCCAAATATATGCCAAATGAGTAAATATAAACTTCAGCTTCAGACATCCAAGCAACAGAATACTGAATTGCCTGAATAGATTAATGTATTAATCAAATGCATTATTATTGTTACTATTATATTACACTTATCACGCACACACACACACACACACACACACACACACACTAACTGATGGTGACATGGACATTTGGAGGAGGGCTGTCTGTATCATAAAGATCTATCAGCTACAACAAACTAATGGAATGGATAGTTATTAGATGAGGAGCCTACAATCAAAACTATGTTTAAGGCACTTTTTTTTCATGGAGTGGTCAATTTTGAGACTTTGGTCTATTTTGTGTCCATGTCTTCTTTTACTCTAATAGAAAGAAAACTTCAAGAATACACATTTAGATGGTGTTGTGATGTGCTACCTTCCGTCTGCTTGCATCTGTAGATTTTTTCTAAATTAACCAAAGCAAGCTAATCTGCATATTTAAACAGAACATTTCAGAGGAAATACTCTTGATGTAAGTCATTAACTTTTGTTTATCCTATTCACCTGCAGTGCCTTGTCAAACGTATGCAAATTGGTGCATTTTAATTATTTAATGCCTAATTTGCATATCAACGTAGCGGTTGTGATGACTTTATTAGATACAAATGTTACTGTATTCACCTGTAGTGTCTCTATTAGTCTGCATTAGCCTGTATGGCCATGACATAACCCATTGCATTAGCTGTACTTCAGCTAATGTGTTACATTTGCATGTTAGCAAGACAGAGGCCTATATTTGCCTTTTGTCTTTTGTTTAATTAGCGGTAAACTCGAGGCACTGGTAGTTTAGTCTTTTGTTCATCACCACTCACCTCCACACAAGCCAAGAAAAACACTGCTGGGAGAGGCTGCTGTCTGTCTGAGTGCTGCGCTGCTGCAGGGAGACGCAGAGCGAGGAAAGGGAGAGAGGGGGCATGGAACTCCACAAAGTCTCATCTTCCGACCTGATATTTATTTATTTAATAAATATATTTGTTTGACAGGGAAGTTGTGTGCAAACAGGAATAAATATACTCTATGTTCATTTATTTAAAAAAAAGGCACTTTCTCTTGAGGAAGAAAAAGGGCAGGTGCCATAGCCCCTTTTTATGTCTATGTGCCTGGTCACTGCAAAACTCTACACACAAATCACTTCATTTCTCATTGCCACTATGTGGTGTTAAGTTGTTCACTCAAGTCAGCATAGCTTGAGCTCAATTAGCACACAACTACCCAGGTGGAAACACAAAGAGTAATAATTGATCAGGCATATATCAGAACCCTCAATAGACAGATAGATAAAAGGACCGGTTCATCCAGTTTTGGAACAATGGATCCAGAGATGTAAAGGAAGAGGTGAAGGAAGAGGAAGATTAGGAGGTGGAGAGGAGCAAGAGGTATAGGAGGAGGTGGAGGACGAGATTCTCTGGCCTGTCCCAGACCAAATACGGGATGCTGGTACACAAAGATTGTTATTGTTGTTTGGTGTATTGTATTGTACAATACACTAAGGAATAAAAAATGTGCAAATGTCACGAACCCCCGGTCGTGACCCTGGCCTGCCTGTTGCTCTGAGGCTGCTGGTGGGCGTGGTGGTCTGAGCTCCAGGTTTTCCCACCTGAAGCACATCCGCAATCAGCACATCAGGGCCTCCGCCTGCAATCAACACACCTTTAAGAGACCAGCCAACCTTCCAGTCCCCACCGGATCGTTGTACCTCACTGTACGAGCACGCCAGCCAGTTTGTTTGTCCTAAGTATCAGTATCTTGTCTGACCCCTTGTACTAGTATTTAACTACTCTCGCTGTCTCGACCTCAGGACACCTGCACACGCACCACGCGGATTCCCTCCTGTGCCCCGGAATCATCGAAGCTCGGGGACCAGAACCACATGCCCTCGGAACGACCACCTCAACCCAACCTCTCCCGGGTCACCCTTGTGCACAATAAACCACTTCTGTTCATTCTCTAAGTCTGCGTTTGAGTTTCTGGCCCCCAGTCCTGACAGCAAATGTATACATTTGTTGTGTCTTTTGTTGTGTTCATCATGTGAAAAGGTTTTTGAGGGGGGTGAACCACAAGCAACATTACTTATAACCCCCGCTTATCCTGCATACAGGGTTGCGGGGGGCTGGAGCCAATCCCAGCTGACATCGGGCAAAATGCGGGGTATACCCTGGACAGGTCGCCAATCCATTGCACGGCCGTTTTTTGTAGTATTGTTTGGAATTTATCTCACTAGTGTGTAAGACTGTGTTATAGTGTTTGTTTTTTAGGGGTTGTGTGTCATGGGTGTCTGAGGGTAAAGTTTGTTTTTCTGCAAGATTGAACTGCTTACACACAAAATCTTTACATATCACACAATTTTTGAAACCTCTCACTCAAAAACCAAAACTACACACCAAATCTCCAAAACCATAACCTATTGCTCAGTCTTTTAATTCACTTTTCAATTGCATTAGACACTTTTTTCAAAACACTACACACAATTCACCTAAGAAACAAAAATCTAACAGGATGTAACTTGATTTCCTTTTCCAAACACAAACAATGAAAATGCTACACTTAATCCCCTAGGGGCGAGATCAATCTCAAAACATTTTTGTACCGGTTTACAACGTTTTCAGATTTTTTTCCATCCTAATAAACATAACATAATAAACAAATAAATAATCAAGACATATACAGTATTAGCGTTGTCATCTTAGTGCTATGCAGCATTACTGATTGAGATGAGTACATTATCAAACATACAGTGCAAAGATAATTTTGTGTACTGTATAGATGTATTGTAATGTGTGTAATATCAAGGCACGATGCAGCCCTCTATTATCTGTCAGGTTTTTATAAGTACTTATAATCCAGAGGCCATTGTTTCAAAATTTCTTTATTTTCTATCATTTTCCAGAAGTTTTGCAACAGCTAAAAGAGCAAAAGCATCAATTAATGAGGATACATTTTCCCTACTGCACAAAAAGAAAAAGACAGAAAGGACTTATCTTAAAACTGTAATAATACATGTTAACCCCCCCCCCCCCCCCCCCCCCCCCCCATGTATAAGTCAAAGAAATATCAATATATTAAATCCCAAGGATTAAGCATTTGAAACATACAGAGTGCACATGAAATGTATTTTTCACTGGGTTTACTTGGTTTTTGTGAATGAAATTAAACTATTACTGTGTGATTGAGCTTCTCTTCCAGCAGATATCACACAGGCGTCCTTGCTTGTCATGTCTCCAGAGTTAGTAGATCGCCAGGCACAACCACTGTAAGTAACAAAATTATACATTACGCTGTCTAGAAAAAAATGATACATTAAGACATAAAGTCTAGAAATGCAGACAAACCAGCAGTTGTTATTCTGTCACACACCTGTTGGATATCCAGCTCAATCTTCCCTGATCCAGCTTTTTCCAGAGCCTTAAACATTTCTGGTTGAGAGGCAGAAAAAAAAGATACTGGTATTGTGACCATGCCACAGCTCTCAGATCACACAGATCATTATGAGATATACAGGAGTGATATTGTTGTGTTTGCTAACACTTACTGAAGAGCATTTCCAGTTTAATGAGACAGCCCACAAAGCTGTCAAACTCAATGGCATATTGAGCGTCAGCATAACGACTGACAATGGCCTGCAGCACAGCACTGTTGATGCTGAAACCTGGGGAAGCAAAATAGCCGTCACTTATCATAATTTCCTGTTAGCTTGTAGAAAGTGTTTTATAGATCTCTGGATTACTCCTAGTCCTGGGGAAGCATTGTTTTTTAAAAGGTACCAAATATTAGCAGGGTGATAATGGAAGAGTCATGTTACACCCATGCTTGCTTTGTTCCTGTGACAAAGTATACGGGAAGGAAATCTATATGCAGAGAGGGACGTTCCTCTAACTGGCTTATCCAGTCTGCCAGGAACTGCCTTCGGCTGCTGGGTTTAGTGGTCATGTACCATCCAGAAAAATAAGCCTAGAAAAATGAGCAACATAAATAAAGTACTATGTTTGCAAACCATGTCATAGGCATGTCTATTTCTAATGTTTCTCATAAATTGGACTCTGGCAACTATAGTGGCGTACTCTGTTAAAAGATAAAGCAAATATTATCCCTGAAGCCATGCAACTTATACATAAGCAGTCCTTTTAAACATAGTGTGGACATTTAGCCAAAGACCGAGTGCAGCAGAGGGCCAGACTTCATATTTACAATCATTTGTTCCAGTGTTAAAGAGTTTAATGTGGCTCTTTGGTGGATGTTAGTGTATGAGATTCCTCACGTGATAACATTTCTTACCTGCTTCAGTGGCGGCGCCTCTCATCTCGTGGGAGCTCATGGTGCCAGAGTTGTCCGTGTCATACTTCTTGAAGATCTCCTATACGATCCAGGCACCCATGTGTTGCATTAACAGACAGGTCTTTCAATGCTCATTTCACACTGCATAAATCACAGCTTACCAGGTATTTCTCGAGTTTGCTCCAAAATATATGGAATTCCATCAGTCCCAACGTGCCACTGTCATCTTTCTGGAGAACGTTAAGGATGATAAATTAGCTCATCCTGCAAAGCCTTTTATTATTTCACACATTTCAATTCTACTGTTAATAACAAAGCAACCAAATCCCAAATTTGTGTTTCTAAACAAACAACTGTGGAAGGGCAATTTTTATGTTCTTTGAAGAGGATACATCCAGGAGACTGACAATAAGGCGGCATGTCTCAAGGCTGAAGCCATTTGCCTTGATATCAGTCCCTGCAAGAAAGTGACAAAACAGCATTCCAAGTCAAGTCAAGATTCAAGTCAATGAAAATTAAAAGGCTACACATTAACATTAACGTTAAATAAGAGTTCAATGTACTCACGGCGAGAGATGACCTTGTTCAAAATGTCAACCAGTTCAAAGGCAGATACCTCCATGTCCTGTTTGAAAAATACATATTATAACAGGAGTTTTCATTTGTAATCCAGGTTCAGAGCTGTTTGTTCATTTTATTTGCTGTCTATTATAACATTGCTTTACCCACATTGCCAGCAATCTGCTTGAAGAGTTGTTTGAATTGAGGATCCACATCATTCGCAGATACCTTCACCTGTGAGAGAAAGACACAAAGATGTCACTATTGTCAAACAAAAGCACATTTTTTTAGGGATTTAGAAATATTGGTGGATGTTGAATTTGACATTCAGTCAAGTATTAAGCAATAGGCATTTAGAATTTAACGTGACATATTTCCTTCAGTCTCAGTACTGAGGTGAAAAGAGTGTCTTTAAAAAGTGACCAACCATTTCACATTAATGCATTAAAGAGCAACTAGTCATTCTTTGGATTTTCTTACCTCCTTTATTTTAGCACCAACGACCCCCCCATTTGCACTAAAAAAATAGAAATACAGAGCTTAAGCCACTTTGCAGGCATGCAAGAAAACAACATTTAGTAGAAAAGTTTTGTCTGTGAATGTAACTATTCTGTGATTCAAGATGTAGCAGGCGTCTGAGCCTACATTACCCTGGAGATATCAGTCAGCCTGTTTGTTGCAGTAACACAGATACCTGGTTTCAGCCTTCTTCTCTGTGAACACCCTGAGAATGAAGCTGCCATTCTTGTGAGGCTGGAAGGTTGAGGGAATTATGACATATTCTCCTGGAGGAAGTTTGAAGCGGTCGCACACTTCCCGCGTGTTGATGAAGGAGCTACTCATGGCCACAGCTCTCTGTCGCAGCAGGACGTCTGGACCTAAGTGAACATTGCTGGAGCCTTTGTACTGAAGATTAACAGGAGAAAAGAGTGCCCAGAAAATCACAATGCAATTTAGCTATACTTGTGATGTCTATTTTGCATTTAAAATTTCAGTTTTCATTTCAAGATCATTATTTGCATTTAGTACAAATACAGACCTGATTTGGGACCTGTAAAAAGGAAACAGAGTATTTTTATTAAAGTTACAAATTAAGTATTTTTAAATTAGTCCATTAATAAAATAATGACAAATTCAGAGTGCTGATGTCCTGTGAAAAATCACATTATTCGGACACACCTGATAAATGGCAAAGCCAATGGTCTCAAGGTTGCGGTCAAGCCTCTTTTGCTGTCGTCCATCCTTTTGCATGAGCCCCACCAGAAAGGTGCACCCATCCTTCCCATCCAGGGGATCATCATCCACATCCTCCAGACGCAACATAAACTGAGGGTTGGACGGGAATGTGGCTGGAGCACAGAAAAGTATAATCCTTTATATGAAGTAGTGTGACAGAACTTCTTGCTCAGACACCCATATGGTTTTTCTGTCACCTCGGTTATTGAGGCAGCCGCCAGCAGTGGAGCCGACCCTCCATGTCCCGTCGAACTGGTAGTAGTTCCAGCGGCCTATATCGTCACTCGTGAGCGTGTCTGGGGTCAAGTTACAGATCTCCAGCTTAGAGAACTGCCTGATGAAGTCTGAATAGGCCATCCTGAGGAGAGGAATGCATTCACAGAACATTGTGTCGTTTCTCACTCATTAACTTCCCATCTCTTTCCTAGCCTGAGGCTGAGACGTAATTGTTGCTTTGGTGATGTCGAGGATATTATTATCAATCCATATTACACCATTAACAAAACATCTAAAATATCTACTATAAATGTACTACAAATGAAAGGTTAGTTGATGGATTTACCAGAACTCTCCATCTTCAGCCACCTGGTTCAGCCTTGATTTCTCATCCACACTGATGCTTTTCCATTCACTGGATCTAATTGTGATTTAAAAGAAATATGCTTTTAGGAAAATCCTGGAAACAACCAATGGAAGCTGACGGTTAATGGATCTAGAACGTAATTATTTACCCATCACTCCAAGGCCCAGTCCACTCCACCTGACCCCAAGGGTTTCTGATGCGAACCAGCTCAACCAGTTTGCCTTTAGAGTGAACCTGCGAGAAGGAGTAAGAGTAGGCAATTAAATTTGCATGCCATAAACAAACACAAAACAGCTTAC